ACTGGTTCATTCATGTATTTTCGTGCTTGTGCGTCGACTAATTTCAAGCGAAAAATTTTTGAAGACACCGTACATCGCCTTCACTACAGCACTTATAGTTGAACAGCCTTTAAAGACGGCCTCAGTAAGGCTATAGAATCTTGGGAGAAGAAACAGTACCCGCCGGCTTTTTACGAGCCTATAGTGGAATATACTGTCAACAAGATCTTGACAACTAGTGCTCCTGAACATAGAAATGATTCCGAAAGCAGTAGGACTGAAAGACCTGTCTTGAAGCTGCAATATAGGGGTCAAATATCTCACAAAAAAGCAAAAAGAGTGACCTCAGTCGTTTTCACAAGAAAAATGAAAATCGTGATGCCCTCCCTGGAGTCTCCGGTGATTGGACTGCTTCGTGGTAATGTTGTGTAACAGTTTACATGTCCTGGATGTGATTCCAGCTATGTGGGTCAGACGACGCGACATCTCACAACAACAATCGAAGAACACAAACAACGGAGCGCCAGGGTTGGTATCCATCATCGAGAGTGCCGAGAAGAGGTCAATAGCATACAACCGAAGATCATAGACTCTCCCAGCGACGACTCCAAGCTGCTGACGCTTGAGGCCATCCACATCGCCAGGCTGCGTCCCGGTTTCAATGCAAAAGAAGAGTACATCGGCAACGCGAACTGACCTTGTGGTTGTGATTGAGGTCCCTGTTTCTTTGTTCCAGCTTTATCTGGCAAGAAATAATGTTTTTATTCAATTATTTCTTATTTTTTCGCATGATTACGACTTGCTGTGTTCGTTGACTTACTGATTGATTTTGAGAAATGCTGATGATGTCTTACGACGAAAACCTTCTTTTTAAGAAAGTACAATGATTATCTTTATTCATCACTTCACAAATCTTTATTCATCTTTTCACAATGAAATTACCAATCCTGTAATTGGGTGCTGTTAGAGTGCTCTCAAAGGAGGCCGATCTTATTTCCAGTATATGCGGTTTTTGTATGAGTTGTTATAAATTCGAAGCACGTAGGAGGTGCGTTACACGCTAGTCAACATTTATCTGGTTGTCCAAAAGTAGGGACGATTAATCTATCTGTTATATTTTTAAATGCGGGCTTCACTATCTCGCAATAGCTTTTTCAACGTCTTTTTTTGCATGTTTAACAAAGAATTTTTTCACGGTTAAGCTTTATCGTATATTGCAATGGTTAAAAATTTTTTTTGTCGATTTTCCTTATTTCGGACCTCTGGTCTAACGCTACCAAAAGACCTAAAGAGCGAACGAAGAAAAACAGCAAACCTTCTCCTGACTTTAATGTCCGCAGAGCCAAAGAGCTAGCAGGCCTCGGTCAGTTCGGCAGAGCAGCTAAAGCCCTGTGTTCTGATGGCCTCGTGTCCAAAAGTGACGAGTCGCTTAAGGACCTTCGCAGTCTTCATTCTTCCGCTGACCCTCCTGTCTTTTCTGGCCGGGATGAATCCCCTCTTGCCAACCAATTCGAACCTGAGTTCGTTCATAAGTCTCTCAAAAGTTTCCCGAGCGGCACTGCTGCCGGTCCTTCGCGCTGGTTTCCTGAGCACTTTGTTCACGCCGTGGAGTGCCCCACTCCTCAGACTGCTGCCAAAACGTTAGAGTCTCTCAACAGAGTTGTTAACATCCTCGCTGCCGGGCAAGCCCCTTCTAGTCTCTCTCCGTGGCTGTGCAGTGCGAATCTCTTTGCCACCGCTAAACCCAAGGGTGGTGTCCGGCCTATTGCGGTCGGCGAAGTGCTCCGAAGGCTCACTGCTAAATGCCTGGCTAAAGCCGCCAACGCTGAAGCTCGTGATTTCCTGTGTCCTCACCAGCTTGGAGTCGCTACCAGCGGTGGCTCGGAAGCCATCGTCCACGCTACTAAAATGACAGTCAAAAAGTGCTCGGAACATGGTCACCAAGGCGTCTTAACAGTGGATTTTGAGAATGCTTTCAACACGCTAGACCGCACCGAGATCATCCTTCAAGTTCGCAACCGTCTTCCCGGTCTCTCCGCCTTTGTTGAGTTTACCTACGGTCACCACAGTCGTCTGCTGTTCGAGGATGTCATTCTCAACAGCGAGAAAGGAGTTCAACAGGGGGATCCGCTAGGGCCTCTCATTTTTGCGGTCACCCTGCACTCTCTTGTCGAATCTCTCAAGTCGGAAGTCCCCGGTCTCACCCTCAACTGCTGGTACCTTGATGATGGTATTTGTGCCGGCGACGAAGACTCCTTGCTCAAGGCTCTCGAATTCATCACTTCCAACGGCTTGAATCTCGGCCTCAAAGTCAAGCACAGTAAGTGTGAGTTGTGGGCCCCTGTGGAGTTCTCGTCCATCCCCGTTTCTATCCCGAGAGCAGCGTCTAATGGCTTCGAGCTCCTTGGCGCCCCCATTGGTGATACTGAGTTCTCAGTTAAAGTCCTGGACAAACGCATCTCGAAAGCCACCAAATGTCTTGAAAAGTTACCTCTTCTTGATGACCCCCAGCTCTCACTTGGCATCACTCGCACTTGCGTTGCTGCTCCCAAGCTGACGTACTCTCTTCGCACTCAGCCGCCCTCTCAGCCTGTCGCAGCTTCCCTGCAAGTTTTTGATGAACTCCTCCGCGATGCTCTTTCTGTCATAGTTGGCTCACCTGTTCCTGATCTTGCCTGGTCCCAGTCTTCCCTGCCTATCAAAGATGGTGGATTTGGCGTCCGGCAAGCTCGCGACCAACACATCCCTGCCTTCCTAGGGTCTTCGTGTCAGTCAGCTCATTTGGTCTCGTTTCTTACCGAATGCGACATCACTGATACGCCGGAGTTCCTGCGTGCCTCTAACGACTTCCGTGAAAAGTCTGGAAGCGTTAACACTCCCGGTTTTACTCAAGAAGCTTTCCAAGAGAAACTCGATAAGGCCACCTACAACGCTTTCTTCTCGTCTCTTCCCGATTCCCGCGAGCAAGCTCGTCTTCAGTCGCTCTCTCTGCCTTACGCCGGCGCTTGGCTTACCGCAGTCCCCATTAAAGGTCTTGGCCTGCTTCCTGCTGAGTTCCAAGCTGCTGTCAGACACCGCCTTGGTCTTCCTGTGTTCGCGTCTGCTCGTAGGTGCCCCGCGTGTCCGTCTGGCATTCTGGACGTCCTCGGGGACCACGCTGTCGCTTGTGGGGGGAGTGGTGGCCGGATCTCCCGTCACGACAGACTACGGGACATTATTTTCAATGCTACCACGGCTGCCTCATTAGCCCCCATCAAGGAGCAACGGAACCTCATCCCTGGAGAACGGTCCAAACCCGGCGATATTTTTGCCCCTACTTGGAGCGCTGGTCGCCCAGCTGCTTTTGACGTCACCGTGACATCCCCGCTGCAGTTATCTCTTCTCTCTCGTGCGGCGGAGACCCCTGGGGCGTCCCTGGAAGTTGCTGAGGACCGCAAATTTTCGAAACACGAGAAAAACTGTGAGGAACAAGGAATCAGTTTTTTCCCGTTAGCAGTCGAAAAGCTCGGGGGTTGGTCCGCTTTAGCTATCAAAACCCTCAAGTCAGTTGCTATCCTCGCTGATGCCAGACGTTCTGGTTCACGTGACGCTCGTGTTGCCCCAGTTCGCCTCCTCCAGAGCCTCTCAGTGTGCCTCATGAGAGGAAACGCCACTATGATTGTCAGTCGGGCCATCTAGTCTTGTGCAGTTTATTACTTTTTTTGCCTTCCCAATTCTGGTGCTCCTTTGTTCCTTTGCTGTTAGTTTATTTTACATGATCAGTGAAGCTTACTATTCAATATATTTTTTTTTGATTTTCCTGTTTGAAATCAGTGATTATTTCACCAAGTTTGAAATTAGCACTCCAATAGTGGTATGCTGTCAACGTTTCCCCTGGTGTTGCGAATTTGGCCTCCATATATGAAAAAGCAAATCCTTTTAGATTACGACATACGGCAATTTTCGAGATTTTTCAAAAATTTCTAAAAAACTTAATTTTATTGGAAATCTTAACTGTGTATTTGGGAGCTGTGATGGTACTCTCCGGAGTTGCGAATCTTGCCTCTGAATATGACTGCTCAATTTCTTATAGTTTTCGAGATATGACGTTTTTTGTGACTTTTTTCAAAAAGTTTTCAGAAAGCTCAAACTTAGTTTTTTTCTTCTAAATTTGAATTTCACAAACCTGTAGTTGGGGGCTGTCAGAGTACGCGTAAGGTCTCATGGTTTGTGATTCTTGCCTCCAAACGTGACTGCTCAAGTCTTTGTAGTTTTTCAGGTCTGACGTTTTTTTTTTTTCAAAAAATGTTCAGAAATCTTAAAGTTTTTTTTTTTATATTTTGAAGTTCCTGACACCCTTTAGTTGGCGGATGACAAGGTGTCAAAACAGTGTGAGGTAAATTGTAGTCCACCGTTTTTCGAATTTGACCTTGTAAAACTCTCGTGAGTCCCATTTATCCAAGAGGTGCAGTCTAACATCATACCGACGACACTGCCTATGATACCACTCAATATACTACAAATCTCATTTCGATTAATGGTAGTTTTGTTCGTCCTAAATCTTTTTTCTGCCTCGAAACTAATTATTTATCACGACAAGAAAAGTTGCAGCAAAAGTCCTTCACCAGTCGGAAAATTTCGAATTGCTTAAGTGTGAAACTATATATTTAGGGCAATATGAGAAGAGATTAGAGTTTGTTTAATGGCTGGCAGGCTTCGAGGGGCAAAGTGAGGTTTAAGCAGATAATCAAATCATTTTTTGATGTTTTTTATCCACTTGTATTTTTGATATTTCTGATTGATGGAAGCCCTGCCCATGGATTATGTCTATTTTGCGTCCTATCTATTTCGGACAAATTTATAAGATAAAGTTTTGGAACCTACATTAGCGTTTTCTCAATGCCAGAATTTTTATATTTTGTGTTCTCAGGACTTGAACCCCACGCATTAGAAGGCATTTCTCATTTTGGTTAATTATCAATTTTTATCTAAGGATTGTTGTCTGCTCTAAGCTTCCTATATTTTGTTTCAGATAATTGTGAATGACGTCTACAAAAAGGCTGGGAAAAGAATTAGCCGACGTGCGAGCCGAGTCGGCCAAAGATAAGAACTACTTTTTCCGAAAAGTGAACAATCCTGGAGACAATTTAAACTTATGGGAAGGTGTCTTAGTTTGCGAGAAAGAGCCATATCATAGCAACAAGGGCATAAAGTATGTTAAAATGATATGAATTATTCCTGTTGAAATTCCGATCACTAAGGCGTGAAGGTATTTTGAGTTCGGACAGAATAAGATTTCATTAAGACAATACCAGTTGAATGATATATCATATACAGTGCTGATTTAAATTATCCGGACAAAACGAACAAAACTTGAATTTTCAAACGCGTTTTTTTCAAATTGGGTTAAGATTAGACAAAAAGTAAAAAGAGCAAAAGTTGCTTAGAATTTCATCAAACTTAATATGGTGCTATTTTTCTCCGAAATTCTCAACCAAAATTTTACCATAAAAATGGGTCATTTTGGCTTTTTTCAATTAATCAAGAATTACACTGAAACTTCTTTGTTAGTTGAAAAAATTACATCACAAGAAGCCTCTTACGCAGCTCAACAAAGTTTAAGAAGGGTTAAATCTCCAAAAGTTTGCGCAAATTGTTTAAAATTTGTTTTTAAACAGAGATTCTGGGTTTTATAAAGTAAAAATCACATTTATTGACTATCAAGTAAAAACTTTTTCTCCTATACTGGTTTTTGGAGATTTAAAACTTGTTGGGCTATGTAGGAGGCTTCGTGTGATGTAATTTTTTCATCAGTTAACAAAGTAATTTTTGTGTAATTCTTGATTAATTGAAAAAAGCCAAAATGACCCATATGGGTAAAATTTTGGTTGAGAATTTCGGAGAAAAAGAGCACCATATTAATTTTGATGAAATTCTATGCAACTTTTGTTCTCTTCACTTTTTGTCTAATCTTAACCCAATTTGAGAAAAACGGGTTTGAAAATTCAAGTTTTGTCCGGATAATTTAAATCAGCACTGTATATCATTGATTCATTTTTTGAACCATATGATCATGATACCAAATTGTTTATTCTTCCGACCATTGAAATTGAGCAAGAATTTTGTATTCGGATGTGTTTTAATTTTTTGTTTTCAACACAAAATTAGGTACCACAAATCATGATCGGAAAAGGTTGAGTGATATATCATATTGAAGTCCTTCCAGTCGTGATTCGAACATAAGAGAACTTTTTCAAGAGGTCCCAGTGTAAAGAAAACCGGTTTAAAAATTTTGATTTTTTGTCTAATTTTTTTTATAATAGCTTTTAATTCAAGTTGAGCCGTGAAATGTTAGTTTTAATCCAGTAAGATAAGTTTCCTTAGTTTCTTTTAGCGTCTTCTTCAGAAAAGAAACTTTTCAAAACACCTTTTTTGAAAGCTTAATATTTATCATTTTTCTCCATTTTTTGAGAAAATCTGTTGTCAAATATATATAATATTTTTTTCTATCTAAGTTTTTTAATTGTTGTGTTCGGAACTGTTAGTGCTACTTGCACAGACAGGGCATCATTGTTGAGTTTTCAAAATGCTGGCTCAGAATAAATAAGTTGCTTAAAGTTTCGAAAAGAGAAATTCGTTAAAACCAATTACTTCGAGTGAAATAAACGCGTCTGATTGGCTAGTCATACTGTTACTGTTGATGAGAGTTGCATATGAACAAATTTCGAAAAAAGCGAAGTAATAGTTTTTAGATATTTTTGATTTTTTATTGATTATATGATGATCGGAACTATTTTGCTATAACCAGCTATTCTTGTTTTATGTATCTCTTTGTTACAGGGTCCAAATTGATTTCCCTACGGACTACCCGTTCAAGCCTCCGAAGATCAAATTTCTTTCCCAAATATATCACCCCAACGTAGATGAAAAGGGTCAGGTATGTTTGCCTCTGATCCTACCCGACAACTGGAAGCCGGCTATTAAAGCTATCAGGGTGATGGAGGAACTGAAACGACTAGTCGAGAACCCTGAATGTGATCATGCCCTCAGGAACGAAGTGGCGGACGAGTACGTGAACAACAAGTCCAAGTTCATGAAAATTGCGAAGGAAACATTCGAAAAGAATGGCGCGTCACTGTGATAGAGATTGAACCTTAATTTGAAAATATGATGCTAAATTTATAGCTAATGCCAAATTGTCAACCAATATTAACTAAGTGAATTAACTCAAACATCTTTCACCTTTTTCATTGCGTAAAAACGGTGTAAAGAAAATTGAATTCATCGAAAAAGCGCCGGTTTTGATCGATTATGCTGCGCGAAATCACTGATTGTGCGACCAATTTGACATTAACTATATTAACTTTAATCTGGTCCAAAATTGAGTTGAATATTATGTCGAACAATTTGAAACAATATGAATTGTTTGCTGATGAAATTTTCTGAGTTGTGTTCTTGAATGGCGTGAACTAGACGGCATGTTGAGAAAATGAAGATGATAATCAAGTTGAAACTGGTGTTTGGGACGATCAATTTTCCACATATTAATTGCACACAGTCTGGTGCTATGTTTACAAATGATAATGTAATGTTTTTTATTAATGAAGTTTTTTTACCGTTTATTTTGCTAAATTCAAAGTGTCGCAAAGTGTTAAATATAAAAAAAATAGTTTTTCTCTAAAATGGTTTTCATGATTTGAATTTTTGTGCCAATCCCAGATTTTTTTACTTATAAATATTCCGCGAAACACGAAAAAACGAAGTGATCTTATTCTTTTCTTTCCGCGGAGACATGAAATTAAAAAAAAACTTGAAAAATTTGTGGAACAGTTTTCTTTTTCTTTAACTTTGTAGTTATGTGCTAATAATTGGTAAATGAAGAATTTTTTCATTCACGTATGCTTTGTAGTTATGTGCTAATAATTGGTAAATGAAGAATTGAGTTTTTTCAGGGGACATATGTGTTACTGAAGTCACCCCACCACAACATGGGCAATTTAAGCAGTGGAAGTCACTCAATATACATGTTCTTCAGGCAGCTTCGATTGCTCCTCTGGAAGAATGCGGTCTTGAAAAAACGAACGCCGGTAATTAATTTTTACCAATTGAAATTGTGAAGTTGCCTCATTTTGATATGGATCTGATCACATACAATTAATTTTGTACCTGCCTTACAAAAGCAAAGGCCTAAAGAGCCGCATTTTTCGACTTTATTAAATTTAACAAAATGTCAATAGGAGTTGAAATTATATGATGTGTTTAATCGTTTTCCTCTAAAAATTTGCTTAAAATCTCCAAATCAGTTGAAATTACTTTTGTACCTTCCTTATAGAATTGAAGGTCCAACGAGCCGCGATTTTCGACATTTTTAAATTTAACAAAATGTCAACAGAAGTTAAAACGAAATGGTGTGTTTAAACGTTTTCCGCTTAAAATATGCTTAAAATCTCCAAATCAGCTTTATCAATTCCTGCGAAATTTTACTGTTGCTAACTTTTAGGTGGTGACACTGTTGGAAACTATCATCCCACTGGTCATCTTCATCATCTTGGTGCTGATGCGGATGCGACTGCCTCCCGTGGAGCAGCCGATCCAGATGCCCAAACACCAGCCCCTAGTCTCCGCTGGACTGGTGCCTCTCATTCAGAGCGTCTGCATCAACGAGAAAGTGTGCAAACCATACGGGGTGCCGAAAGGAACTTAGTGAGTGCTTTTCACTGTTGCTTTAACAAAATTTACTTCAGATGGCGTATAAAAATATTTGGGCGAATGTAATTGTATTACTTTTGAAAGCAGACTCGTTTCTGATCAAACGAAACAGGGCGGATATGCCCCCGCCCCCGCCCCCGCCCCTTCAGGGATTCAGCCCCCTTACTACCCAAATCCACCTCCCCCGCTACCCTCCTTTGGTACTATTTTTCGACATCAATTTTTAGCCAGCGGACCCTAAAGTTTTTCTAAAGGAGCCAATATATAATATTTTTGAGGGGGAGTGTGCCAATTTACCAAGAACCTTAAAAAGAACTCAGTAGTTATCTAGGAGCACATTTGCCAATGGAAGTATCGAATTAATATTTAGACTTCTATATACGTGTTTGTGTTTCAGTTTTCATAAACTGCTAAACGACCTTCACTCGCTGCACAGCGAGTTAGCTGCTTCGAACACTGAGGAAACAGAAGATAACCTGAGGTCTCTTCTCTTCATCAGCAGAAAAGAGTTGGCAGCGGCTGGCATTGACCGAACTGCAATGCTGCAAGAACTCACAAATGCGAACATAGTTATGAATGAAAGTCAGTTGCTAAGATCAAATAAACACCATTTTTTTTACACAAGGTTGTGTGATAGTATGAACTCTTTTTTTTTCAAACTAAGTCACAAATATTGTTGCGATAAAATGTGTTCATTTTGAAAGTGTTCATTTTGATCAATTACCAGCTATTAGTACCGCCAACGCAAAGAGTGGATATTAACACAGACTATTATATTACAAACAGCACTAGCACTTTAGCTTCTAGGTATCATGGATCTGTAGCATAGAGGTAGGGAAGGAGACCTGCAACAAAATAAGAGGGTTCGAACCTGGGCAGAGTCGGATGTTTTAATGAATTTTTCGTTTGCTAATTAAAATGCGTCCGCTCTATAAATTGAGGCATGCTAGTTGGTAATTTTCTTTTTTTTTATATTGACTGGTACTGCTAATGCGTCATAATTTACTTGCGTCACTTAAGAAATTTTGTAGACTCAAAGTTGTACTCATTCAGTTTTTTCTAGTAGCGTTATCGGTCATAGTTTTGCTTGTGTATGCGAAGTGCAACTTCGCCTCTGTGTAAAAATTGGGTACCAAAAATGGCCCAGCTTTCTTCTAATCACGGGAAGGAATTCATATATAATAAAGTACCACCCGAAAAAAAAACATGAAGAAGAGGTTGAATATATGCAAAAAACTGACTGGTTAAATTATGCAAAAATGCTGGATCCCGCTTTAACTTGACGGTTATTTCCCTCAGATTGTCAAAAATGTTTTCTTTAGCAATAAATTTCTCACATCATAAATTTTTTAGCAAAAAAATTCTCAACGGTTTTCCTGACGAATGAGACATTCCGATTAGAAGCAAGGCGGCTGATAGACAAGTACAAGACCAGCAGGATGCTCGGAAGAAGATTCAAAGAAGCAAGTGAAGATAATACAGGCCTCTTTTCAGAAGACAAGGTTTGTATTACAGCTTCCTTGCATAAACCGGGACCAATGTAATTCAGACTCCTATATAGGTGGTGAGGACTTTTAAGAGTAATGAACGTAGTGAAGACTCTTATATAGGTCTTGCAAATTTTTTTTCTCAGGAAAGTCTTAAAATATTGATGCACTTAGGTATCATGCTTTTTTTGAGTTCAATTGAAAATCATCTGCTGAAAGTGACGCAAATAGCACTCTCAAAATATAAACGTGGCAATGGCGCGAAAAAACGTGAACGAGATCTAATTTCGAAAGTGGAATTTAGTTTTGAGAATCAGAAAAAAAACTACCAGTTCATCCAGTTTTCTCAAATTGGGTTAATGTTATCAAAAAGCGCCGATCATAAATCGTTCTAGAAATTCAAAGAGTTTAAAGGGCATCTATTTTTTATCTTTGAAGATCGAAAGTTGATATTTTTTTAATCAAAATCAGTGTATTTTTTAATGTTTACTTGCGTTCATTACTCTTTTTCAATCTTCGATTGGCTTTGTTTTATTTTTTGTTCATGAAAGGTTTTGTTCACGCCCAAATTTGATTTTTCACAGTCTGATTTTATCGAATTCTAATTTCAAAAGTGGATTTTACTTTGCAGATTTCCCAGCGAAATAAAATGTTTGCCTGGTAATTCAGTTTCAAACAGGGTTAAGTTTATCAAAATGTGTCAATCAGAACTTTCAGGTCATATACATTTTTTTACTTTAGTTGAAGTTGAAATTCTTAAGTTGAAGCGTTATCAAAAACAAGTAGTTTTTCTGTTTCCTTGCGTTCATTGACTCTTTATTTTATTATGTGTACCGTACATTTAATCAAGAATTTGGACTGTTACAAGAAAGTATGTCTTTCAACTCTTAAACCGATAGATAATGAAGATGTAGGAAAAAGCTGCCATCGAAGATGACAATGTTGTTTTAGCTGGTGATGTTGATGAGTCTCTCTGACAAGACGCCCGAATTGATGCAATGGCTGGGATTTCTACCAGAAGACACATGTGATTCCTTAGGTAAGCTACCATAAAAATAAATATGCAAACATTTCGAGGGGTAGGACAAAAGCATGTAATTGAATGAATGTTTTAAAAATAATAATGAAGAATTGATAGGTAAAAAAACCTCAGTGTGGCGAAATTATAGAATCTTATGACAGATCTTTTTTCTTTCTCCTTTTTACGAACAAAATTGGTTTTTTGTGTGCAAGCCATTGATAAAACAAGGTTTTGAATGAAGGCCAATTGTCTTCATTCAAAAATCGGCAATGAAGACCAGATGCTATGTAATGAAGAGCTCTTCTGACATACTGGAAAGATGCTTCTCGAGGAAACTACCCATGAACGGCATGTCACAGGATCTTAATTTCATGTTTCAGAAAATATGGCGTTGTGGCGCATCGGTAGTGATGGTGCCCAGCAATCATATGATTGCGGGTTCAAATCGCACGTGCGCTGCAATTTACAAGATGCCCTCTTGCAAGATTGCCATATCTTAGTTAACCTTAAATAATTAACCTTCGGGCTAGACCCCCGGGTGGTTAACTAAAAAAGAGGAAACTTTCTAGTTTATTTAATACCTACTATTGAAGAGGTAGATGATTCACATGATTGTTGCAGTTGATGAAAATTACGACAGACGGAAACTGACTCAGGCAGCTCTAGAGATGTGGCACCAAATACAGCCTGACTTGTGTGCCAACTACGAGAAACTGACTATGCAGGATGTAGATCTGAAGAGGTTCGAGAAGTTGAACTTGGAGACACATCAATTTCTCATGCTGCAACACTGGCAGTCCTTCCTCGACAAGAACCTCAAGATATTGTTCACGCCTGTGACTGAAGACACTGAAAAAATTGTGGCAGAGGTCAGTCGGTTTTTTCTCTGTTTCAGCTGGATCATTTTGACAGCATTATACCTTGAAATTTTTTGGAGTTATCAATTGTTACAATTTTTGTTTTGGTGTTTTTTTTGCTTCCAGTGTGCTTATCAGGTCAGATATTATCTTTTTTGGTCTAGATTTTGTGAGCTATAAATATGTTTCTATTCAAAGTTTGTATTTTTTGTATGTAAATGAAAGAAGTGATTTTCACTTATATAGGTTTCCTATTTCGTTAAACTTCCCAATTGTATGTTGGCTATGTTTTATGTAAGTTGTTAATTAACAACTTCGATATTGTATTGTTTCAGTTTTGTGTTTGTCTCTTTTTTCTTCTATTTATTCGGCTTGTAAATCCACCATTTGCTTTACAGATTTATGTTATGCCTGTTCAGTAGGCAGGGGAATTAAAAGCTATATGAACTTAGTTCGCTTTCCACTTAGTCTGACCTTGATTGACGTTGTATTTGAATTAATTGATGAAGCTTAAGCCACATATGAGGTCTACTTGGGTGAATGAATACTATACAACTTAAATCCCACTCATCATTATATAGTTTCATCAAGGTTGTTTCAACTGATAAAACTAAATGGTTTCGAATTGATAAGACATGTTTTCAGCTGAGATGATTCATGCCGTATTAGGGCATCAGATAACTCGTAAGACGTAGAAAACTTATCAATATGCTAAAAAGATGGAAAATTTTCAAACACAGGCTTGTCATGGTAAACATTGCAAAATACATTTATAATATATCAAATTGCAAAGGAGGTTTATGTTAATTTCAATGAAAAACGAACGCATAAAATGTAAAAAATGTTTTTTTTTGATAAATCAAAAATTGAGATCCGCGAATCTTGGAAGACATCTTGCTGACAGCATACTTAACACGTTAGAAACAGCTGTGGAAACAAAAATACATTTTATACGATCGAGATCACATTTTTTATATAAGCTTTCCTTTTTTTAGAATTATCTTATTAAGAGTCGATAAAGCAGCTCTGATTGAGGTCGTGATAATTTTTTTGTCAAATTTACTTTTCGCGATTAGAATTTTGATTTTTGTAAGTTCAGTTCGTTTTTTTTTGTTACAAGGAAAGCAAATTCCACTATCGAACACCAAAAGTGTAAAGGTCAGGAAAAACGTGATCGATTTCTGTTTTCGAAAGTGATATCTAATTATCATATTTCCCAGCGAAAAAAATTAGTTATGATCCAGTTTTCTCAAATTGGGATAGTTATATCAATCAGAATAATAATTTGTTCTTGAAAGTCAGAGAGCTTTAAAGCCATCTTTTTTTTGAAATTTAAAAGTTGAGTTTTTCAATAATAAGTCAGTTCACTGAATCTTTTCCAACTGTCTGTTGGTAATGTTAATTAATTGTAATTCCTTTTCATTTCAAGTGGTTGCCATGTTAAATAAAGTCGATTTCAATTCATGTGGGCGCCATGTTAAACAATGTCGTTTTCAATTGCTTTGGGTGCCATGTTCAAGATTGCACCTCTCGTAACGTTTAAGAATTCTATGATATATTTAAATGCGGGCTTCACTATCTCGTGTAAGCTAAACTTTTCACGTTTAAGCTATATCGTATCTAGCCATGGTTAAGAATTTTGTTTCCTGATTGAATTGAGTGTAAATTTGAAATTAACAACCCAATAGTGGGAAGTTGTCAGGGTTTCCCCAGAGATTGCCAATGGGTCCTCCAAATATGAATACGCAAATCTTTTTATCTTTTTAGTTGACGAGATACGGCGATTCTTGTGATTTTTTTGATTTTTTAAAGAAAATCTAGATATAAAAATTCCACAAATTTTAAAAATTTTATTGCTGTACATGCGTACTCTCAGGTTACTCTCCTGCAGTTGCAATTCTTGCCTCTAAATATGACTGCTCAAATCCTTTTAGTTTACGACGATTCTTATGATTTTTTTTTAAAAGTGTTCAGAAAACTTAGATTTAAAATTCTTAACCCTGTAGTTGGGTCCTGTCAGGTTACTATCAGGGGTTTAATATATTAGCTTGACAAAAGTTGAGTTTTTCAACTCTATAGCGAGGTGCTGTCAGGGTACTTTTAAGCCTTGCAAATATTGCCTCTAAATATGACTGCTCAAATCATTTAAGTTTCCGAGATATGGCGTTTTTTAAATGGTTTTTGATAAATTTTCAAAACAGATTATTATGATGGAATTTAAAACCTATAAATGGTGCTGCCAGAGTAGTCTTAAAGGTTGTAAAGTTTGCCTACAACTGTGACTGCTGTAATCCTTTTAATTTTCCAGGTATGACCTTTTTTCGATACTTTTTTTAATATTAAAAAAAACTTTTAAATGTCTTGTGGTGGTTTTCGCAGTTTAATTTCAGATATTGAAGAATTTGTCTGTGAGTTTGAGCTAGAATTATCTGAGGCTCTCAGATATGCCGTTTTTTATTTTTTTTTCAAAAAATTTAGATGCAAAAAAGTTTGAAAACCAACACTATGGTCTGGTGCTCAAGATCGTGGGATGCTCTCAAGATGACTTGATTTATGAACTCGATGATTTAATATGGAAAGTGCAATATTTGTTATCGGCCATTTGAGGGTTTTGTTTGTGAGTTAAAAATACGAAGATCTGAAACCCTGTAGTTTTGGAGATTTGACCATTAGCGTTGCTGGATTCCCAGTTTTATCCAGCTAGCTTAAATTAATGTTAATTTTGGCAAACAGTTTTGCTGCATAATATTGACAGTTTAAAAGCTTGTTGTTCACTTTATGAGTAGGTATTGTTACGGTTATTGAAGCGTCAGTGGTAGAGTTGGATAGGGAGGGAAGTCGTCTTAGTGGCTCGAGGTTTGAAGTTTCAATCCAGTAAAGATCATGTAGTTTTCAAAGTTCTCTTGTAGTTCAATTTTCTTGCCTTTCTCTTTTTTACCTTTTTTAAAAGCTACTTCTTGGCGTTTTTGCTGTGTCTGTGTTTTCGAAAAACAGCTTCGCCTCTCTGTATTTGAAGCCGTCAAAAGTTTCTGTGAATGTATTCAGCCTAAAAATTAAACCTGCATCTTCCAAGGTTCTAACCAGCCATATATTTTTGAGTAATTGTTGAATTGATAAATTGTTTATTGAAGTTTTTAGTCAGAACAAATTTTCAATTTTTGATAAGTCGCTTACTTTTCCTGAATCAGTTCAGTCTGTCAAAAACGTGTATTTTTCAAAGTTTCATCGTTTCACTGGCGAGAGCAAGTGACTTGTATTCGGAAACCCCACGTTTCCCCCACCCCCAAAGACAAGACTTTTTTATAAGGTCTGCTGATATGCTCAAGTGCGCCGACATGCTCAATTTCTTGAAAATTGATTTTTTTTTGGATTTGTTTTGTTGGTCTTAATTTCTGTCGGCTGATTTTTCGTTTTTCTTTCCTAATGCAGTTTATGTTATTGGCACACGTTTCATGCAGTTTTTTTTTCAAAGCTTGGGTTTTTAATTTTTGATTAAACAGGTTTAACTATAATTGAAATTTGAACTCCTTGTCAGTTTTTGATGCGGAGTTTCAAGGGCTAAGTTTTTCCTTTTTATAATAGGGATGGGTCGTTAACGCAGACCGGAATTTAGTAGAGCGCAGAGTCTTCATTTAAAGACATATGAAAGGAATGTATGAACATATGTATGCGGGTGCTTTCAAATCACAGAAAAAAAAATCGTTTGCAAGAGTCGCGGTTTGAATTTTGATTTCTTTTTGAGGTCGCATTCTTTCCTTTGTTTAGATACCGTCAGCTTAGTGTGTTATTACGAACCTTCTTTTTTTCTAGCCTAACTCTCTAATAAAAGTTCGGCTCTTTTCCAGTTCTCCCCTTTCAAATTGAATTTTGAAAAGTCTATTTACCGTTGTCACAATGCAATGAAATTTGGCGTGGTGAACAAATCGACAATTCTGAACTGATTTGTTCTTCATACTTTACAGCGTAACATCACGCATTTAGCCGTAATAACACGTAAAACAAATATAAACTCGGTATTTTGAGAAGTGGGAACTGGAAAAGAGCCAGAAGTTCATTAAAAGTGTTCACCTATTTGGAAATTTCACTGTATCATTGGAAATTGCATAGCATCTGTTCTTTGCTTTATTTGTTGCTAGTGTTTAATATTCTATCTTCTGTTTACTAATAATTTTCCGTGGCTGAGTGGATAGTGTGTGTGACTCTTAATCTCAATGTCCCCAGGTTCGAATCTCAGACGCTGACGAATTTTTGCTAATTCGAGGCTTATTTATTCTTTTTCGTATTGTACTTTATAAAGCAGCTTTTTGTCGTGTTCTCGTTATTCTTTGCGAGGCGAAGCTTCCTCTGTGTTAATGAAGATAATTTCCACTGTCGAACATCAAAAGTAAAATGGCCACGAAATACATGATTGACTACTTGTTTCAAATTACTGAGTCAATATGTTTTCTAAATGGTTAACTTAACGGAAAAAAAACGTTCAATCATCAAGAGTCTTTGAAATTCAAAGACCTTCAACGTGATGTATTTCTTCTCGAAAGTTGAAAATTGTTCGAAACTTTCCAATCAAGTTTTCCAACTGCCTGTTGGCTACGTTCGCTTTTAACTCTTGCAAGTGCATATGTCTTGTCAGCGGGAAGTAGACCTTTTTCTATAAACAACCTTACTATGAATATGTGCGAATTTGACAATTGCTCTTTCTTCTGATATTTCGTGGTATTGCCTCTGTTTGGGGCTCCGTGGTTCGATTCCGACAACTGCATGTGTTTTTGCCATAAGGAAATTTTCTGCATCGAAATCCAATAGTCAGATTATCGTGTTTGTTGGACTTGTTACGCATCACTTTTATATTTACCCTTGCGATAAGCAAAGGTATTGCTATCGGGTACTAGACTTTTTTCCCTTAAACAACTTTGTCCACAGAATGGACGAAATGAAATTGTAACAATTTCAATAACACCGGTTAGTGTATTGTGTAGTAATTGCTAGCGGTACCTTGGTTCACAATGAATTCGAATTTTGTAGTGTCTCTTGCACACTTAGCTTGGTGGTAGTGGATACGCTTGGGACGGCAAAGGTCGTGGGTTCAAATCTGACCAAAACATTTTCGGTCTATTATTTATCTGATTATGGTTTGTCGGCTTAGTTGCTACATCTGAGGATCGTTTATTTTAGCTGTAAACAATTTTCTTTGCACATGGTTTAAGCATTTAAAAACTCCGACGGAATCTAAGTTTGCTTTTCTTTTGTTGTAATTTTACAAGCTCGATTCGTTAAAATTTCACTCTTTTTTTTATTTTTTTTCCGTCTTTTTTATCGGCTTAGTATTTTTTGGCTTCATTAATGTTGATTTCGTGGCCTCTTATTGCATCGCTACGTCCGAAAAAAGTTTATATTTAATAAAGTTTATCATTTTTATAAGTTAAGATTTATTTGCTTTTATTTTCGTCATGAAGGGTTTCTGCTTATTTTTTTCGGCTTTGTTACCGCTTGGTTATTATAAATTCAAATCCGATCACTCATGTATTGGAATCAATTTTCTATGACAAGACTGCCCGAGTTGGGAGTGGGGCTTAATAGGAAAACGTGAAGCATGAATGTCACGGAAAACGTGAATGACTTCTAGTTTCAAAAATGGATTTTCATTTTCTGAATTCCCAGCGGAATGCAAAAAAATACATTCTTATACAGTTTTCTTCTAAAAAGGATAAATCTGGGAAAAAACTGTCAACCAAATACTTCTTGAAATTCAAAGAGCTTTAACGTGATACACATTGTTCACCGAAAGTTGAAAAAAGTTCAAATGTTTTAATTACGTGTTTTTTGGGTTTCATTGAGTTTTTCACATTTTGTCAACTATCTGTTGGCTATGTTGAATATGCAATTTTAGCGCTATGTTTGTTTTTTTAGGGGAAATTTTAGAGTGGCTATTTTAAATATGAATTTGCAGAAGGCGGACTTAACAAATGTTGTTTTGACCGTTTCACGGCGTTTCATTTCTTTTTTTTTCCAGATGTCATCTACAGCAACAACATTGCGCAAACTGCCCGTGTTCCTGAACAACTTTCTCCAAGTTTCGGAGGCATTCAGATCTTACCTGAAACTGAAAAATCCAAATGCTTTCGAACAAGGAGTTTCAGTACTGGACGTGGTAAGTCACCATTCGGGTCAAGTTCTTCGGTATAAACATGCAATTTTGGACCTTAATTAACTTTTTGGAAAAATGGGCATATTGCTGAATAAATCGATCACTGGCCGAATAAGAAGAAAATTTGAAGAGTAAAATTGTCGTTATTTTTTAGAATGTCTGTTTTTCAAAAACTGTTGAACTTTGTTTCAGGTCACCTTCCTCAATGTTGAATTCAACGGAACTGAGCCAAATATTGAAGATCTGCGGAAGACGTACCCGGTTAGAACATTAAAAATTAGATTTACGAAAATTTAGGTTTACTTGCGATATAATGCTCTGAAAAGTAGGGAGACAATTCGTAACAAGCGACAATTCGTTACAAGGCATTGAGAGTACAATACGCTCGCTCCGCTGCGCTTACATCCGGAACGAGAGGAATACTGCGCGTGAATCAGTGTTCCACGGCTCAATCTACTGTTACGAATGGTCGCTTGTTACGAATTGTCGCCTGTTACGAATTGTCACCTCTACGAATTGTCGCCACACGGCTTTGAAATAATGTCTGGAACATGTTTGATAATCTTACTGATTGCAGCAAGTTTAAAATTCAAACAGATTTGAACTCCCGCTAAGCATCGAATAGTTCGTAATTTTTCGTCTTCCCTGTCAACTGGTTATTTTGATGCAAAGTGATTAATATGAGTTCATCTGCTTGAATTTGGACAAAGTAATCAGAGTTTAATCATTAGATAAAGGTGCACTTTTGCAGGGACTGACCGTGGTATGTATTCTGCACTTAACAACAAGGCGTTTGGCTGGTGTTTTCGCTAACATGGTTCTTAATGACTCTCAAATAATTTGTTGATTTTAAAAATCAAATCTAAAAGCTGGATCGTGGTTGTTCATGTTTTGGCTGGGCATTGATTGAAGTCATCTAGTTGGACTGAGCGTCAGTTAAAAGAGCGGTGTATGGTTCAATGTTTGACTCATGATCATGACTGCATCTCAGTATCTCCCATCGCATGAGCTATGGGTCCTCGAAATGCTAAATGAAACTACAATGTTTGAAAGTTGGGTTTTGTTCACAATATCCCCTGCGTATGTCATTGATACATTGTGGAATTACCAGAGAATTACTGAAGAATAAAAAATGCGGAGACGAATGGGATTTTATGTGTTCGCATAGAGACTAAGGTGTATTTTTTTCGCTGACATAAGCAACGGCTCGTTTTAGGTAGCAGACTAAATAGCAGTAAAAAACCATTTGATCTAGCTATCTCAAAATGAGTAAAAGTATTCCTGAAATATTTCTTAAGAAGATTTTATGAATATATTCATTTGTTTTTATTCAGTATTGAATGTATGTTGCTGTAGTCTGTTTCCGCTCATCGTACCATGCACAAAAATTGGCACAAATTTGAAAATATTTATTTTAAGAATCGACGAAGTCTTGTTTTTCAGTTCAGCCTTTTATATATTCGTGATCATTTTTTTCTTTAAGGTCCTAAAATGCTCTAGTAGCTGCGGAAAGTGAAATCATTCATACTATTGCGTTTAAGAATGACCTTAGGTATAAATAAATTTTTTGAGTTCAATTCAAGTTCAGTTGCTAAAAGTTAGGCAACATTCGCTCTCCAATTACGAAAGAGGAAATGGCGCAAAAAAACGTGATCGATTTTTAATTTCGGAAAATGGATATTAATTTTCTAAGGTTTCCCAGCTGATCAAAATTTTTTTTACCAAACCATACAGTTTTCTGTAATTTAGTTAATTGTATCAAAAAACTGTCAATCGTAATTTGTTCTTGAAATTCAAAGAGCTCCAATTCTATATATTTTTTCTTTGTTATTAGAAAGTTGAAGTTTCAAAAAAAAAACAACTACGTTTTTTTCTGTTTCTTTGGATTCATTGACTCTTTTCATTGACTCTTTTCCAACTGTCTATTGGCTATGTTTTAAAAATGAAGTGGGAAGTTTGTGCTATTTGCACAGCGACTGGTTACATTTGTCTTATTATGATATTGATATGCAGAATTTTGTATTATGATATTGATTTGCAGAATTTCGTCTAAAAAAATTTAAAAACTGTTTTATAGCCTAATGGCATATTTTGCCATAAAGAGCTACCAGAAGATATTTAAAAGTTCAAAAAATTTTCAATGTGCTCTTTACGAAAAAGCTTGTGAAGTTGATGTACTTGGAATTAAGTTTTTTTGGCTTTAAGTTTTTTGAAAAAGTCAGTTCTCTTAATAGTATTTTATCCTAAAACTCTCTCTTAAATGTTTGAGTTTTTGATTGTTTTATTCAGTATTGAATTACGCCTGGTTTACCAATGTATGTAGCTGTAGTCTGTTTCCGCTCATCGTAACATGCACAAAAATCGGCACAAATTTGAAAAATTTTATTTTAAGAATCGATGAGTCCTTGTTTTTCAGTTCAGACTTTTATATATTCGTGATCATTTTTTTCTTTAAGGTCCTAAAATGCTCTAGTAGCTGCGGAAAGTGAAATCATTCATATTATTGCATTTATGACTTACCTTAGGTATATATAAACTTTTTGAGTTCAATTCAAGTTCAATTGCTAAAAGTTAGGCAAAATTCGCTCAGTAATTGCGAAAGAGGAAATGGCGCAAAAAACGTGATCGATTTTTAATTTCGAAAGTGGATATTATTTTTCTAAGATTTCTCAGCTGATTAAATTTTTTTAACCAAACACTACAGTTTTCTGTAATTTAGTTAATTGCATCAAAAAACTGTCAATCGTAATTTGTTCTTGAAATTCGAAGAGCTCCAAGTCTATACATTTTTTCTTTGTAATTCGAAAGATGAAGTTTCAAAAAAAAACTCAGTTTTTTTTCTGTTTCTTTGCATTCATTAACTCTTTTCCAGCTATCTGTTGGCTATGTTTTAAAAATGAAAGGGGAACTTTGTGCTACTTGCAGAGCAACTGGTTATATTTGCCTTATTATGATATTGATTTGACGAATTTCGTCTTAAAAAAAATAAAAAACTGTTTCATAGCCTGATGCCATATTGTGCCCTAAAGAACAAACAGAAGATATTTAAAAGTTTTAAAGATTTTCAAGGTGAACTGTACGAGAAGGCATTTGTGAAGTTGATGTACTCGGAATTAAGTTTTTTTTTTGGCATTAAGCTTACTGAAAAAGTCAGTTCTCTTAATAGTATATTCTCCGTCACTAAAATAACTTGCTAAGCCTGATTGTTGTTGCCGCCATTCTGTTCAATTACCAATTAGCTTGATCAAATTTAAACGCTGATTTAAAAAAGTTGGATCAAAGATAAACGCCTGATTTTTTGCAATCTGGAATTTTTGTGAGAAAAGTTTGATCTATTGATCTTGAAAAAGTTTCGTGTTTTCGAAATTAAAATGTATTTTGTCCTGGATTTTTTTTGTGATATCCTAGCTGCATTTAATTTGTCAGAAGAGTCTTTGAATCATCATCAATAACAAAACAGATTTTTTTTCATATTCAATTTAAAGTTTAAACATGTTAAAATCCTTTTTTATCATTTATTTCCTGCCAGTCGTTCGAAACTCTGCTTCTCCTGTGTGAAAAATTTTTCATGATGTGTTGATAGCGGGCTATCTCGAAGTTCAATTTTGTATCGTATGAGGCTTGGCGATTTGATTTGATCCTTAAGTGCGTCGGTTTTGTTTTGTGTAGAACTTCCTGAAGATGCTGGACGTGTTCGATCGTGCCGCGTGTGCCATGAAGTTGATGTTAAGAGACAGGGATTTGGACGTGTTCGAGGGAGTCGCAACTGAGAGTGAGGCAGTGCACTTGCTAGCCAATGGAGATGCGGCCAGAGAGGGAAACAGAATTCTGGCAGGTTCGAAGCATTCTGGTTTGATGCAAAATGCAACTAAACAAAAAGATGAAATAAACCAAGAGGGTTGTAAGCTAGCCGCGTCGTGGTTCAAACTCGCTCCCTTCGTTGAAGTCAGAGGCTCTTTTAAATTCATTTTTTTGTTTGTGCTGTGTTGCAAGTGATGCAAAGCTCCGCTTCATCTCTGTGTAATTGATGGATCATTCGGGTTGTGTATTTTAGTATGTAGCATAGAGCTGAAAAACAAAACGTGGAGAAGAGAGCCGGTTGCAGTGTAAATTCCACAGAATGTTCCGGTAACCGCGCCTGTCATTCAAATGAAAAATATACAAAAAGAAAATTGAAAATTTTTTAAACTATTGAATAGAAGTACCTAAATTACTGAAATAGATTGGTATCTATCTATTATATATTTAAATGCGGGCTTCACTATCTCGCCATGTTTAAGCGTTTTCAACGTATTATTTTTGCATGTGTAGCAAAAGAATTTTTTCATGTTTAAGCTATATCATATACTGCAATGCTTAAGAAAAATTTTCAATTAGTTTTCCGCGAGGTCATTAATTTTTCAGTATTTTTTTCGAGGGCAAATTAGGTCTGTCTGTCTGTCAGTATACCTGCTTTTTTAATTAATTTGATCATGTCTGTCTACCCGTCGCCTAATTTTTTAACTTTCATCCTTTCTGTTATATATTTAAATGCGGGCTTCAATATCTCGTCTTGTTTAAGTTTTTTCAACGTAATATTTTTGCATGTTTAACAAGAATTTTTTGTATGTTTAAGCTATGTCGTATATAGCAATAGTTAAGATTTTTTTTTCGACTTTCCAGTTTAAATTCAGTGTTTATTTCATCAAGTTTGAAATTAGCAATCAAATACTGGGACTTTGTCAGGGTTTTCCCAGCTTTTGCGATTCTGGTCTCCATATATGAATTACCAAGTCCTTTTAGTCTCCGAGATACGACAATTTTCAAGATTTTTCAAAAATTTCAAGATTTTTTTTTATTTCCCAATTTATGAAATTTTTGCCCTATAGTTGGGTGCTGTCAGGGTACTCTCAGAAGTTGCGAATCTTGTCTCCAAATCTCACTTCTCAAACCCTTGTAGTTTTCGAGATATGACGTTTTTATGATTTTTCAAAAATTGTCAAACAAAACTTGGATTTTATGAAAGTTTCAAATGTTTTAAGATCTCAATCCTTTTGTTGGAAACGATGAGGGTACTCCCAGGGGATGCAATTTTTTCCGATTTAGAGTATTTTCAGGGGTTGCCCAAATTTCATGAGTGCCCAAATTTTGTTAGTAATCCAGATACGACGTTGTTTGATTTTTTCAAAAAAGTTTCCGAAAACATAGATTAAATTTTTTTTTCGAAATTTCTTTTTTTTCGAGTTTCCGATGTGAAATTTTTTAGTTCATTTTAAATTTTAACTTCACAAAATTTTATGATTTTTCAAAATTTGGTTTTAAAATATTTTATTATAAACTTTGCAAAATTTTTTATTACGAACCCTGAAATTGGTTGCTGTCAGTGTTCACTGTAAGGATGCAGATCTTCTTTCCACTATATGCGGTTTCTTATGAGTTGTTAAAAATTCGAAGCACCGGAGGTGCATTACACGCTGAAAAACGAAAAGAAATGACTACTTTTTGAATGCGAGTCACAACTGAAATGGCTGTAATATGATATACTTTTGACCCAGTTCATCTTTTTGTTTGGTTTGAAAGAATAAAACTATATAAAAAGATAAGCAAAAAGTAAATAAAAGGAGTTGTAGAATTTTGTGCCTTTAGTTGAGACTAGACTATATTGATGATATAGTTTATTAATACAGTATATTGAGATCATGTTCTACGACATTCTGCAAAGCATTTATTTCAAAGGCTTTTAAGTATTTCTGATGACAAAGATTGTTTTGAGAAGTTTTTTTTTGCTGAAAAGTATATGTATTTTTGAAAAGGTGTTCTTTTTAGTGATTGTGTTTGACGTGGACGAGCAGGGTAGAATTGGGTCACATGTAAGCTACAAAATCAGACAGTCGCAGAGTGAAACAGCCGATACCCGATTCGTCAGATCATCATACTGGTAACCCAATTTATATTTATATAACTCATCATCTACTAGATTATTCATGCCTTAAATAGGAGAGGTTGTATGAAAAAATATCGGTCAGATCATCCTAAGGTTGCTTGCACTTTTTCATATCTCATAACCCTAAGTAAACAATCATGATATCCCATTCACTGCAGTAGTATTGAATTTTTTTTTCTGATTCAATGTATCCAATAGATCGTGAAACATAAACGACTTTTAATTGGTTCGACCATGTACGCGTGACTAATTCACGTTAATGTAGGCACTTCCAGAAGCGCGTTCATTTCAAGTTTAGCCAGGTTTATGTATAAATTCGGAGTCGTTGTTCTAGTCACCGAGAAAAAATATTGAAACTATTAAGAGTAATGAACGTAGTTTTTAGAATTTTTTTGCGGTTTGACTTTTGATTTCTTTTTAAATTCAGTTCATTTTCTTTGTCAAAAGGAAGTCAAACTTTTAAATCGAACAGCAATAGTGTAAAGGTCACGACGAACGTGACCTAATTCCACTTGAAAGTGGGTTTTAATTTCAGAATTTTTCAGTTTGCTATTGATCCAGTTTTCTCCAGTTGATTTGATTTCATTCAGTTATAAATTGTTCTTGAAATTCAAAGAGCTTTAAGGGCAAATATTTTTTCTTCAACATTTGAAAGTTGAAGTTCAGACTCCGTTACAAGTCGCGATGTTTTCTTTCAGGAGAAGGCTTAAATTTAGTTTTTCTCGGTTTATCCGACTGTCCGTTGGCTATGTTTTCTTGATCTAGTACAGGAATCGTTATTTCTATGCTATTTATATTATCATGTGGATTTTTGTGCTTATTGCATTTTATTTCACGAGTATTTTTTACGCTGTGCCAATTGATTTTTTAAATGTTTTATATGGCATATGTTTTTCTTAAGTGATAAAGATTAATTGTCCTTATTACAGTGAAGTATTGGTTTCAACAGGTACCCGGGAACTGACACTCATGGACTGAATGAGAACAACTACTACACGTATGGATTCCTCTGGGTGCAAGATCTAGTTGATAGAGCCATCATCAACTTCCAGACGGGCAGAAGCGTCGAGGCACCAGGTCTATACATCCAGAAGTTCCCCGCCCCCTGCTATGACAATGACGTGTTTGCAGAAGTTATAGAACATGGTATGCCTCTGTTCATGCTACTGTCCTGGATATATTTTTCCAGTGTGTTGGTGAATGCGGTGGCCAAGGAAAAGGAAACACGTCTGAAAGAGGTAAGATCGTTTCATGTCTGGCATGTTTACTCAAAATCAGTTTGGAAAAAAGATAATAATCATGTCATGTTTAAATTAAGTTGATGTTAACCGTATTTTATAACCAATCACACAGCTAAATCGTCCAAAATTAGATTTTGACACAAGCTTGGTATTTAATTACACTCGCGCAGCGTAGTGTAATACTACAATGTAACTTTTTCCCAATCTAAGTAGAAAATATTGATGCTGCTTTTGGTGGCACCTTTATTTTCTCAAAAGTGGTGGAACAACCGATAGAAAGACCGGCTATTCTCTTATGTGCCGCATATTCCGCTAGTCTCTTTTGCCTTATACGACGGCCTTCGAAAACTTCAGTGGGGGAAATTGTTTTGCTTGCCAAGTATTTGAATACAACTTCATTTTCCTAAAAATTATGCTGCAAAATCAATTCAATCAAAAAACATGCTAAGGTAGTCTCTCGTACATTAGATGCTACGCGCATATATTATTAGAAACAGACATTTGGCCTTAGAAAATGTCAAATCTGAGATCAAAAATTTCCATCGAAAGAAAAGTTGGCAGTAATTTTGTCTGCGTAAGCAGCTATGCACTAATTTTTTTTGTAGAAAATTAGTTTTAGTTCAGAAAAAAATCTGTTTTTAAGACTAGATGAACGTAGTCCAGACTCTTATATAAGTCGTGGTGTTTTTTTGAAAAGTCTTATAATTTTTTAGGCTCAGCTTTACGTTTTCGCTGTTTGTCTTTTGATTTCTTGAAGTTCGAAATTCCAATATCGAGCAGCGAAAGTGTAAAGGTCACCAATAAAAAATTTACGTATTGATCTATTTTTCTTAATTGAGTTAATATTCTTTTAAAATTGCCGATCATGAATTGTTCTCGAAATTCAAAGAGCTTTATTTTTTTTCTCTGACTTTCGAAAAATGAACTTTCTAAAAAAACAATTTTTGAGTTCATTGGCTCTCTTTCAACTGTCTGTTGGCTATATTGTTTATAATAGCTATAATAGATTGAGAAAACGCAGTTTTTTCAGTTCAGCAGACCACTATGAGCCAAAATTTTCAGACCGATTTTTGTGGACACTACCGTTTTTTTAGTTATCTTTTTGAACCCAAATCAACAGTGAGAGCTATGATATGATACTAGGCACTATCTAGGATTTTCTCGAGTGTAGTGGGCTGATTTTTCAAATTCTTTTAGTTGATTTTATAAGTTGATTTTCCAAGCTGCACCAAAACTAAAGTGAATTTTTTCTGCTATTTTAAAAAACGGGCCGAAAGTGCCGTTTTTGGTCATTATTTTTGAAATTTTTGACTAAAAAGTTAAGGCTTTTCATCCTCAAGGGAAAGTACCAACATACGAGCTGTTTAGATCTTTGCGAAGTACCGCTGTTTTTCCCCTGGTAAAGATATACATGCAATATTCTTGTCTGGGTAAGGTTGCTTCACGGATCATGGTGGGCCTCGAACATCTGACCTTTCGATTGAGAGGCGGAGTCATAACCAATTTACCGCTGCTACCCAAAGTTGCCTTTTAGCACGCTCTTTCAAAGTAATAAGTGTCGGTCGACTTAAAATGGATGTAGTAAGGGGTCAGGGGTTCGAATCGCTGCGGGGTAAAGAAAGAGACGTCCAGTTTCCCCACCTCCTCGAATCCGCTACTGACACTGCACTCGAGCACATGCGAGCTCGCTTTGAGTTCCTGAAATCGCGAAGGAAAAATCCTCCATAGAAAAAAAACCATTCTCCTTGAGAGTAGTCGTAACGATGAAGCCAAATTTGATTTCGTGGCCAAGGTTCGAGTCTTTCTTTCAAGAGCCTCAGACTTAAGAGCTGTTATGGTGAAATAGATTTCATAATTATTGCTTTAGAGATCTGAAAACCAACCAATTGTAGGTTGAAAAGGTTAGTTAGCAATCACATCAGTTGTGTTCTGCTTTTAGAGATAACAAAAAAAATTAAATTGGAATATTTCAAGCTGGAACTGGGAACTGTTGCTTATCAAGTTGTGAAACTTCTTTTCTATCCTAAATTAACCGTTTTTTATCTGCCTAATTATTTCAAAGTATCTTTTTGTGCTGTCCACAAAGAATAGGTAGTTTAAGATTGTTATAAAGATTGCGTCGAATTCATTAGATGAGTATGAAATTCTTTGTGGGACGGCAATTCACAATGCTTGAAGTGAACATGTGCTGTTTCCTTCCGCTTCTAACTTAATCTCACCTATATTGCGCAATTTTGTCTCGAAAGTAGAAATAGTGAACTAATTACACAAGCCAGTTTAACGCCTAGCGTTATATGTTCAGTCTCCTTTTCCTATTGTTCTCGCATTTTTTTTGATGTCAAGTTTTTGAAATATTAGTTTTCGATGGCTCCGCGCGATCTCTCCACTTATCTATGATGTTCAACGCGTAAGAGCGATGAATCATTCCAAATCACGCTGCTTTTGTTTAAATTATCGTTTCATATTGAATTGAGGCAATCTAATTGTGGTCCCAATAATTTCCCTAGAATCTCAAATTAAAGTTTAGTTCTGGTTTTTGATGAAAAATACGGATTTTTTTGTTTTTGTTGTTTTTCTTCAAAAATTGTTCTACAATTTGCATATTTTACAATGACTGCTGAAAATGCCAAAGCTTTACTTTTTCGCTCAGATTCTTGTATCACACCACGCCGAAAAAACGACACTAATTTAAAAAAAAAACAAATTTTGTTGTAATTTTTTAAACTGGTCGGAACATAATTCTGTGTTACTTGCACAGTAACCGGCTATCCTTGTTGTTCCGACCATTGAAATTGGGGAGGAACTTTGTATTCGGGTGTTTTGGTTTTTTTTGGTTTTCACGCAAAATCATCTACCAAAAATAATGATCGGACTGGGCTGAGTGATATATCATATGAAAGCCCTCTTAGTCGTGATTCGAACCACTTAAAAAGTTTCCAAAAGGCTTCCCAGTGTTGAGAAAAATCGGTTTGAAATTCTCAAGTTTTTTCCCTTAATTCGAGCGAATGAAGCAAGCGAGCAGGCTTACAACAGCTTAATTAGGAGAAATTTAAAACTTAAGCTCTAAAAACTTAATTTTAAGCAAGTAAAATTAATTCTTGGAGTTTTGTAGCTCCACTCTGGAAACCAAAAACTTCGAAAAATTGGAATTTTTCTGCAAAAAAATAGAGCAAAAAGTGAAATCTTTTGAATTTTTTTATTTTTGTTTTTCTAGTCAATTTTCTAAAAAAATGTTTGTGTCTTATTTGCCTGTATTATTATGAGTGTCCAATATGTCTAAAATATAGTTTTTCATCAGTTTTTTTTATCATCCCATGCAGAAAAACTAATTTAAAAAAAGCTTTATCTTCTTGTTTTTTTGACGACTATGATCGGAACATTCTGTGCAACATGCACAGTAACCGCCATCCTTGTTCAAATTTTTTCACGTTCGAATGAATGTTTTTATGGATCGCTTTCTGATTTATAAAAAAAATACTTGGATAAATATTAAATTATTTAGCTAATTGAAAGCAAAACTAAGCTGTCGGGGTGAAAACGTGGAAATGGCGGCAAAATCAAGCATGACTTCAAACTGTTTTAATTTTAGATTACCATCGGAATAAAAGCTAACATATTGGTCCATTTCTTCCGAGAAAAATTTTTATCATAAAAAAAGAATTCTTAAGCTGAAAGAGCTTCGAGTTGATGTAATTTTTTAAAACTAAATGTTCGTTTTTTGCTTTCCTTTAATTCAATTACTTTTAACTAAAAGTCTGTCGGCTTTGTTCTGATTTAGAACAGTGAACGTAGTAAAAACTGTCAACAGATATTTCATTTTTAAAATCGGAGATTTACTATTGTTTTTTTAGTTGTTGATGTTCTATTACAGCAATTGGATCCCAGTGGACTGGCGGTGTTGTCCAGTCGTTTTCATAAATAGCCATGACAAACTACCCTTTACTTTTTTATCCCACGCTATACTTTACTTTTTTTACCCCACTCAAAAATAACCCAGTGGTTAGAATAGCCCAGGACGAAGAAGTCCACTCAAATCCAAAATATCCCACCTGAGGAATCGAAACAATTAAAATATCGCAATAAGCTTATCAAAGGAATTAAGCCTACGATGCCGCAATTGAACAAACTGATCAAAGCAATGCTAACTTTTCAAAAAGCGCATGAAATCAAATTCAATTCAAAGCCTGACAATTTCAATGAACGTTTTAAATCCACCCATCTTTTGAGTTATCAAAGCAAAAAGCTTTGACCTTCTAGTCTCTCTTGACATTATGCTTAAAAATGTGACTCTTAGTCTAAAGATTAAGCGATCGATTCATGGTGGATCAAGTTTGAAGTTGATAAAAGTTGACTCCTAAACTCCCTGTAATGGGTGAGGGAATCGGAATTTTTGCGGAGTTTCGCAATTTTTGTCGATAGTTATAGGAAACGCAGACTCGACATCTGAGATGGAAAAGAAGCTTAAAGGTGGGTTCATTTCAAAGGTTACGGCTAGCTTAGCATTGTCTTATTAGTTTTTTAAACTTAATTCTGAAAGTTTGCGATGGAAGCTTTTGGGATAAATGAAAATAGCAACGTTATGTTTCGGATGAATATGTATTCAAGGAAGCTTGTTCGAAGTGAGAATTTTTTCGGGTACGACATCTCCAATAATGCTAATCAGGGGGTAAAAGCCGCCAATATGGATATGTACTGTGTACAATTGACAAAGTTGAGCCGGTCATATCTTAAACGTTCCGTCACAAAGCTAAACATTGCTGTGGACGTGAAGAGCATTTAAATTTTCCATCTCCCGAAAAAATTGAATCTCTCGCTGTCCTCTTTTCCATTTTCATCTGACAAAAATGCAAATATTTATCAAGAATTGTTCAAGTCCGGTTGAGGGTTCTTGTCAAGGCTGCACGTGAAGGAAGTGAAAGCTAAGTTGCCAGTTTATCGTTCAGTGTCTTGAGGCTTGCTGTTATCAACTGGTTCACAGGATTGGTTAGGGATTTTGCTATTTCTTTCAGCTGACTAACCAGCTAGTTTGCTTCTACGCAACCGGGGTTAAACTCATGGCTTTGTTTGTAATCAATAGAATTAATGGTTACTCCCAAGTTATAAGAATTATTGGACATATATGGGAACGCGGTTTTGCATTTCGCTTGTGAGGGGTAGTTTTTGTGTCTAGTTTTTTAGCGAAATCGTGTTCATCCAAAATAAGCAACGTTTTGCCTTGTTGATTTTTGCCGTAGATAAAATTTGTCATATTGGTGTTCATTGTATTGGTGCTATGTGTGTAATAATATATCTTTGCGTTGTGTTTCCTTATCAAAGTTTTCTCAATTATGACTCCATTAACAGGTTGAAAATCAAAATGAAGTCCCTAGAAAAAAGTCTTTTACCATTAGCTCTATTATATATCTATTGGTATGGGATACTTTTGCCTGTCACCTAATTAATCAAGTAATTAGTCGGGATTTAATTAGATCAAAGAGACGAAAGTTTTGATGTAAATCTGTCCTAAAATGAAATCTAATTACACCAAGTCGCTATGATTTTTAGATATTCTGACTAATTTAGTGACTAAGGGTATTGGAAGGGTAGTACCCTTCAATATATGCGTTTTTTTTTCTTCATTGGGTTAAGAACCAGCCCCACCATCCTCGTCTATTTCTCTTCGAAAATGTGTGTACTCTTTTTGCGATGATATGTTGTCATACTTTGTGTGGTACTTGCTACAGCAAGAAGTTATTGTTGTTATCGATTTACGTTTGATTGGATATTGAGAAGCATTTTTAAGAGTCGATGAACGAAGTTTAGACTCTTATTTAGGTCACGATGATTTTTTTCAGGAAAAGTCTAAAACTTGTTCAGGCTCAAATTTACTTTTTCGCGGTTTGACTTTTTATTTCTTTTAAGTTCAGTTCATTTCATTTGTAAAAAGGAAGGCAGACACCACTATCGAACAGGGAAATTGTTGGTCACGAAAAACGTGGTTGACTTCAAACTTCGAAAATGGAATTTAAATATCAGATTTCCCAGCGAAATAAAAAGTTTACCTATTGATGCAGTTCTCACAAATTGGGCTAATTTTATCACAAAATGTCAATCATAAATGGTTCTAAAATTTACAAGATCGTTAAGGCCCATATATTTGTCTTGGAAAGTTGAGATTGCCAGTGTTTTTTTTCTGTTTACTTGCGTTCATTGACTCTTTTCCAACTGTGTTGGCTATGTTTCAGCTGTTTTCAAGCTCTTTCTCTGATGTTTTTCCAAATTTAAGTCTAAGTTTGTTGTGTTCTATGTGTTTGTATCCTGTTGGGTATTCATTCCATCCAAGTTTTTCTGAAAACTAAATTATTTAAGAAGATTTGACAAATAATTAAGTTGCGATACTTCAAATGGAGCGAAAACAATAAATAACTACACTTCAAGCTTGGGCCAGGTCACCTCTTTTGCTCTCAAAATAATGAACTGCATTTCGAAACCGAGTGATGTTTTGTTTAGAGCATGCGCATGATGGGACTAACTCGAACTGTTCACTGGGCTGCCTGGTTCTTCACAGCCTTTCTACACATGCAAGTGACACTGCTGCTTCTGGTGCTGTTGATCCACTTCGGGAACTTGTTGCCCCAGAGCAACCCACTGGTGCTTCACATGTTCTTCTCCATATTCTGCGTGGCCATGATATGTTTCTGGTTAGTGTCTCAAAACTTTTTTCTGACTTGTGTGGTCGTTGTTGTGGCCTCGTCGCCTTCATCGGCAGCGGGTTTCGTTTCGTTTTTGTTAATCCTTCATCTCCGAGCAGTTGAATGTTTGTTTGATTGTGTTTGTTTCGTCTCGTCCACGGTCCAGTATCGTTGGCCACCTACGGGAAATATAGGGCATACCACATTTGTGGGTTACTTGAACGTCGTTTTGACACTGGACGTCGTCCAAATGGGTATCTCGTTTTGTTTTGATGTTGGAGGCAAGCATCCTCCGGCATGCTAATTTATTATATGTTTAAATTCGGGCTTCACTATCTTGCCACGTTTAAGATTTTTCAAGTTATTATTTTTGCATGCTGGAAAGAATTGTTTCACATTTAAGCTATATCGTATATAATATTGGTTAAGAATTTTTTTTCGATTTTCCAATTTGAATTCAGTGGTTATTTTCCCGAGTTTCAAATAAGCAACCCAATAGTGGGCTGCTATCAGGGTTTCCTTGAGGGATGCGATATCAATGCCCGAATTATGAATGCCCAAATCCTTTCAGTTTGCGAGATACGATGGTTTTTGTGATTTTTTTAAAAGTGTACCGAAAACTCAGATCTAAAAGTAATTCACAAATTTTCAATTTTCTAAGTCTGTAGTTGAGTGTTGTCAAATCTTTTACCAAATATTACTGTTCAAATCTTTGTAGTTTTCGAGATATGACGTGTGTTGTGATTTTTTCAAAAAAAATTTCAGAAAACTCAAATTTAAATTTTTTTCTTCGAAATTTCTAACCGTAGTTGGGGGCTGTCTTAGGAGTTGCGAATCTTTCCTCCAAATATGATTGCTCAAATTTTTGTCGTTTTCGAGATATGACATGTCTTATGATTTCTGTTTAATTTTTCAGAATTTTAAATTTTAAAAATTTATAAAGATTTGAAACTCCCAAGCTTGTAGTTGGATACTGTGAGGTAACTCACAGATTCGATGTTGCAATTTTTGCGTCCAAATGTGACTGCTCAAATGCTCTTAGTTTTCGAGATGTGACGTTTGTTATGATTTTTTCAAAAATTATCAAAGATTTTTTAAAAAATTTTCGAAAGCCCAGCCCAATATGAGACTAAAATACTACATCAAAAGATACCCCCTACTCCATACATTTTTTCAGAATTTTTTAAAACAGTTTATGGAGTTTGCAAACGTTTGAAAAACATTAAAACCTGAAGAGTAAATTTACAACTGCATATAAGGAATTTTTTCTTTCTTTCTGATTGTTTTTCAAATGTTTTGACATATAACCCTGATCGAATAAAAGCTCGAATTCTCCTTATTAGCTCGTGAAGAATTGTTTGTAAAGTTGACCTAAATTTGCATTTCAGTATCTTCTGCAGTATAAACTGTGGCTCCTCGAATTGCTAAATAGATTCTCAACGATATTGATACATCTATGATATACCTCATCGTCGGGAGCACACTTATTACTTGGTATGTTCATAATAATTCTAATCTATACAAAAATAGCCGGTAGCTATGCAAGAAGCACGTATTTTTCCAACCACGCGAACTTTAAAATCAAGATATAAAAAAATAAGAAAAGTTGTTAATGAGAGGAGATCCAGTTACAGAAGTCAATAATAGATAATAGAAAAAATTCCAGAAGAATAAGATAAGGAATTCAGTCTCCAGTTTGATAATATCATCAGTTGAACAACGTTGAGTTTTGTTGGAATCCGAATGAAGGCTGAAAAGGCTTCGCTATGGTACCCTTCTTGACTGAACCTGAACCCCTACAAGCTTTCTTTGAGACAATCAAAATCTGCTGAAAAAACAGATCCTACGTCATAGTTCCTTCGCCTCTTCGTGGAGTGGTTGGAGCCACAAGCAAAGCGGGTCACTCTGCCAGCGCAGCAGCACAGTCGTAAATTATAGTTTTCAGTCAGATCCTTTCATCAGATCACGCAGAAAAAAACTATAATTTGAAGAAAAAAAACTTTTTTTTTGTATTTTTAAAGACTATGGTCGAAATATCCTCTGCTATTTGCACAGTAACCGGCTATCCTTGTTAAACTTTGCTTGTATCTGCGATAAAAAAATAAACATCTGATCGCGAAAGAAGTTTTCCCTCATCGCTAAATTATCTGCTCTATGCTAAATTTAAGTCACGAAAATTTCAGATTTGGTTTTCTTCCCATGCATTTCTATTTTTTAGCATCCGAATAACCACTGAAAGGGCTTCAATATGATTTATCATTCGAATTTATCTGACGTTTATTTTTGGTATCTGACTAACCGTTTTTTTTCTTTCAATCCCTAATGGCGATCGAGACAATTAAGTAAATCGTCAATCAGTAATTTTCAGTGGAAAGTGAAAAAAACGTAACTATTTTTTTGTGCTCCTTGCTAAGTGGATTGGTATTACCATTTGCAGCTATTTTGATTATATTAACGAACGGCTTATCTAATGGAAAGCGACGCGTGTGGAAAGCGACACATTTTTATACGCTCTCCTTCGAATAATGTTCAATGTTATTACTATTACCCTTGCGATAAGCAAGGGTATTGCAATCGGGTATTAAACTTTTCTTCCCGTAATAAACTTAAGGCATTTTCTAAACAAAATCTAATAAATAATAGCTCAAGTTTTTCAAGGCCAAATTTTTTTCGCCTTTTTTGGCTTGATGGATTTCGGCCCAAGTTTTAGAGACTTAATGGCTTCATATTGCGTCTTTTGACGAGTGATTTGTTTTTATGTGCATGTATGTATTTTAAGGAGGAGGAAGAGCTATGAACATTAAAGAACATAGTGAAAACTTGATGATATAGTGAACACTATATAGGTCTTGGTGATTTTTTTCAGGAAAAAATTGTAAAATGCTCTAATAACTACAGATGTGCGTTCATACATTTTGATGAATTTATGAATCCACTTAGGCATTTTTTGAGTTCAATTGAAATTCATCTGCTGAAAGTGACGTAAATAGTGACTCTCCAAATACGAACGTGGAAATGGCGCAAAAAAACGTGAACGATTTCTAGTTTCGAAAGAAGAATTTAAATTTTAGATTTCCAGCGGAATACAAATTTAAGCTGTTGATGCAGTTTTCTCAAGTTAAGTTAGCGTTATCGAAAAAGCGCCAATATACAATAGTTCTAGAATTTCAAAGATCTTGAAGGGTATCTATTTTTTTCTTTGAAATTCGAAAGTTGGGATTTTTTCAAGAAAGTCAGTGTTTTTTATGTTTACCTGCTTTCATTACTCTTTTCCAATCTTTGATTGGCTATGTTTGTGTGTGTGTGTTTTTGGTTGAGAGAGACTTGATAGCTTTTTATTAAACTTGATTTTTTTGAATTGTTTTTCGGCTTTTAAATGTTTTCGGCTTAATTGGTTTCGGCCTATATTTCATTTGAATAGTGGACGCATTTTACGACGTTCGACGAGCGAAAAAGTTTTTTTTGTGTGTGTGTGTGTGCTTAGAGGGTGAGGGGGACTTAATGGTTTTTCACTATGGAATTTCTTTTGTTTTTTTTTTCATTTCTTTTTTTTCGGCTTAATAGGTTTCGGCCTATAATTTATCGGATTAGTGGCCTCTTATTGCGCAGCTCGACAAATTGTGTGTTTGTGTTTTAGGTTCAGGGGACCTATTAGCTTTTTAATTTTTCTTTGAATTTTTTTTCGGCTTTTTTAGTTACTTTTCTTTCAGCTCAATAGGTTTCGACCAATACTGTGTCGGCTTAGTGGCATCATATTGTTTCATTTGACGCGCGAATAAAGTTTGTGTGTGTTGCGGTTGACGGTACTTAATACATTTTTTGATTTTTTTGTCCTTAAGGGTTTCTGATAAGGTATTTTCGGCTTTGATAGATTTTCTTTCGATGCTAATTTTGTCTTCTATTGTTTGGGTACGTTTTTGTTTCAAATTTAGACTAATGCATTTCAATAGACCTAGTTTTTTTCGACAAGTTCGAATTTTGTTCGATTTTTTTTCGACGCAGCCGCGTCCTTGTTTTATTCTGGTTGTGTTTGTGTTGTAGTTTCTTCATCTCGTGCATCTTTAACAACAGTCAAGTGGCGTCTGCATTCACAGGCATCCTCCTTGTGTTCCTACATGTGCCCTTCACTTTCATACATATTGTGGAGACCTACAACAAACAGATCATATCCGCCGCCATCAAGTCCATTGTGGTGAGTAGAGCAGATGTCCATAATAACTGCAAAGAGGTGTCCAAGCAATTCTGCCCACAAATATGGTAGTTGGGTCCATAAAATTTAGATTGATTGTTTAGCAAAAAGTTTTGAGTTTAAATTTTTGGAAGACCTAGCCTTTCATAACACCTAATATATTCATGTTAGGTAGATTTTATGCCATTTTATAAGCATTATTTAGAAAGCTTTGACCTAAAAACTGCTTCTTTGGAGTGCGTTGACCCCTTTAAAATTATTATGGGCGTCTTTTGAAAACTTTTAAGGGTTAGTCAACCAGGAATGACTAGTGAAATTGAACTACTCTTTGACTTGGTGGGCAAATGTGAGCCTTTTAATTTTGATTGCAGTGTCTGATTCCTGTGACGCCGATGGCGATGGGCGTGAAATACTTCACCATCTATGAGATCCAGAAGGAGGGCATCCAGTGGCACAACCTCAACTCCTCCCCCTCCGACGGCGACAACTTCTCAGCCCTCAAGGCCATGCTCATGCTCATCGTGGACTCAGTCGTGTATGCATTCCTAGCATGGTACATCGAGGCCATCAGACCAGGTCAGTAAAGATAGGTCAACAGCATACTCAACAGCATTATGCATTAGCAAGTCTTGTACCTATTAGCGAATCGACTGCCTTCAATTCAAGCTTACAAGATCCATCGTCAACCAAGTTAACAAGTTTCATCATAATCAATCATAACACCTACAGCGGACCAGTTAACAAGCAAAGATCTTATTTTGGCGTAAATATGGGGAGGGAGAGGGATGTTAACTTGATACCCCACTGCAATTAAAATTACTTTAGAGAATTCATCGAACGTAAATAGCTGGTCAAGTTAAGAACAGTAATTGGTGCTTCTGTTCTGAAATATGACGGATGTTGGGTATATCAAGCCTTTGAATAGGACCTTACATGTGTCCATCGATGACATAAGGCGCATTTATTGTAATGATTGGTCGGTCGGTTAACCGCAAAAAATGATAAATCTAGAGAGTAAATGGCTAGATAATATTTTCATAAGGTTATGCAACAAATCTCCACAATTTGATTATGTCTAACTTCTTGTGGATTCCTGTAAAAAATTAATTGTTAGGGTTATTTTTTGGACGCTTGCATCAGAAGCAATCCATCTAAAATCGAACTATATAAGAACGTTCACTTCGTTCATTAACACTTAATTACTTAAAGTTGTCGAGCAACTATTTTGTTGACATATTATTTTACGTCTCGTGTTAATTTATTCTGAATGCATTTCATGCTTGAATGAATCCCATCCCGCTGATAAAAATGTAGTCAACTCATGTTTGTAAATTTATTACAAATTTTAATTGCATAATAGAGCAAGCGGCTAAAAGCAATGTGAAAAGAATAATTTATAAAATTGCGGAGTGAATGGAATTTACTTTGTCCGTTGAACTGAATTTTTCATGAAATACCATTAAGCTTAACACTACTTGAATTGGAAAAAAAAGATAACGATTGCGTCGGGCGCTAATGCAGTAAGCGCTGTAATTTTTGCTCATTTTAGCTAAGAAAGTTTCAAGCTGAACTCAAATTTTGCCCTACATTTAGGTCAAGTAAAAAAAGAGAAAACGGCTCTCAACTAACTTGGAAATTCAAAACTGCTTTCATTCCACTGGAATTTATGCGCACTTTTTTTGTACCTCACCAGAGATGGTGTGCTAGGGGAATTGATTCGGTTTGTTGAATTGGGTTAATGTTGTTAATTTAGTTTAAATTTATTTGGCTGAACACATGGGAAAGGATCGATTTTTTTATTTGGGCAAGGGACTTTTCTGTTATAATTAATTCCAGTGAAAGAAAATCTGGATTTGGATTTACTTAACAATCTCGCCCCCTATGGTACCTACTTAAGAATATCCACCCCTACAAATAAATACAGTAACTACACTTGAGTTTTCTATGGAGAATTCTAATTTTGCTACATTTTGATTGGTCGAAAAATCGACCATTTTGATCTAATTAACAATCTCCCCCCTTCCTTGAAAGGGGTGGAGATTGTTAAGTAGATCCCTGGATTTTCATTTAAAACGGAAGCTCAACTAATCTTATTGATAAGTAGATTAAATAAGTCAAATTTTCGACCACACATAAATGCAGCAAAGTTCGAAATATAATTAATGCTCTAGTGCTAAATTGGTTTATAGGGTTGACAATTCTTTAATAGATACCATGGGAGATCGGGGGGAGGGGGGGGGGGGGGGGTTGTTAAGTAGATCCGGAAAGGGATCAATTTAACTATCCTCTCCCTCCGTGGGGCAGGACATTCGTTACTACATTAAACGTTAAAAGGTCTAATATGCTTTTCACGGGGTGGATCTAGAACTTTCTCGAGGGGGATTTTCAAAAAAATTCAAACTTGTCGACTTTTTTTAAGGTTCGGTTGACAGATTGATTTTCCGAGCACTCCTTATAAAGACCCTAGTTTGACAAAGTTTTCGGGGTATAGTTATGTAATAAGCGTTGGTTTGTTTAGGACCCTATGGCATCCCTCTGCCCTGGTACTTTCCCTTCATGAAGTCCTACTGGTCATCCAAACAGGATCACGCAGAAGTGTCCATGCAGTGCATTCTGTGTGGCGGGGGAGGCACAGACAGCGAAACAGACGACAAACACTCCCTCGCATCCTCCCAGGCGTTGAATGGGGGTGGCAGTTGCTATCTCGGATGCGATCCCTACTCAAACCCGGTCGATAGGAATTTGTTTGAGACTGAGCCGGATGATTTGGTGCTAGGAGTGGCTATTAAGTCTTTGTCCAAGGTTAGTAAACTTACTCGATTTGAACCCAAGTGAATAATCTCCCCTCAAGCTTAACCATGTGAGCGACCCCCCCCCCCCCCCTAGAGTTGAATAGAACATGTAAGCAGTAAGGCCAACATGCAAAATGCTGCATTCTGATTGGCTGGCATGAACGCTGTAAACAAAAAGAACTATCACCTCCCTAAATTGATTTAGGGGGAGATTGTTTATTGGGTTCCGATTGGATAATACATAATCCACTGAACTGCCCTAAAAAACTCGTTGAACAAGATTCTCAAAATTCGTAGATAGCATTTCAGTATCTTCCTTAGTATTAACTATGGCTCCTCGAAATGCTAAATCGAATCTTCTTTAATTGAAATCCGGTTTCTGTGAATCTGGAGAGTTTATTAGAAGCACAAACTTTCTTTTCCAATTCGAGCACATGATGAAATTGCACAGGTTTCACTTCACGTGCCAGGTATTTTGTATCTTAAAAACGTAAATTCTTGAACCTGAGGACGACTAAGCGACGACTTATCTCCGACAGTTTAGTGGTCTGTTTTCGCGCCTAGGAATAATTCGGTATTATTTTACTGCATCCATTTTTTACGTTGAAACCTTAATTTTTCCTGATGGAGCTATTGTACACTGAATTTGAGGATGTACCACCTGCCAAAAAACTGGGTCTGTTTAAATCTCCATCTTCAAGTGAATTGTTATTGGGAAAATGACTTTTTTCATGGTTTTTGTTCAGCTTAATTTTTTGAAAAAATTGACTTCCCTTTTTTCCAATTTTTTTTAATGCAAAGTTTTTTTTTGTATCGCAAGTGTCGCGAAGCTTCGCTTTGCCTCTGTGTCAAAAAATTCCGAAGCACTGTTGGATGAGCGAGTTTTTGGTTTGACTCAACATAAGAATTCGTCAAAAACGGCTAACTAAACTAGTCAGGATATCTAGCATTCGCATTTCAGTATCTTCCTAAGTTTACACTTGGGCTCCTCGAAATGCCAAATTGTCATTTTGTTAATTTCTGCCACTCATCATTGGTGTAGGTATGAATTGAGATAACAGTTTTCCACGCCTTACAAAATTGTATCGATGTAAATATTTGTAGTTATTTTGTGGCCGAATGTTCCAAACTTTTTAGCCCATCAACAATCCAAAGTTGTTTAATTTTTGGTTTCTGATTGGCTTACATAATTTTCGGTCTTTTGGGTTTAATAGTTATTCCCGGTGTCAACTATTTTGCTTACTTGCGAATTGATTTGATAGAATTTGACCATGTGAAAATATTTGTTCAAATTTTAGAAGTACAAGTCAGCTGGAAAATACGCACTACGTGGATTGACTTTGAACATGTACGAGGGTCAAATTACAGCATTGCTCGGACATAATGGGGCCGGAAAATCAACTACGATGTCAATTCTATGCGGGGTGCAGCCACCCTCTCACGGAACAGCGAAGATCTACAATAAAGATATCAGGTTCCAAATGGATGCAATTCGACAGGAGATGGGAATGTGTCCGCAACACAATGTACTCTTTGATAATTTAACAGTCGAGGAGCACTTGTACCTGTTTGCTAATTTAAAATTACCAAGTGCGTCTAAAGAGCAAATAAATGTAGAAGTCGAGAGGCTGTTGCATGACATGGATTTGCCTACAGACAGACATACGTTAGTGCGGAAGCTATCGAGTGGAGTTCAAAGGAAGCTAAGTGTGGCGATGACATTCATAGGAGATCCGAAACTGATCATTCTCGACGAACCGACGAGTAATGTTGACCCACAAGCGAGACGAGCCATCTGGGATCTTTTAATCAAGTACAAAGACAATCACACGATTCTAATGTCGACGCATTTCATGGATGAAGCTCAAATGTTGGGAGACAGAATAGCTATGATTTCGGGAGGTGTCTTGAGATGTGTAGGGACTCCGATATACCTTTTGAATCGTCTAGGTGCCGGATATCACTTGACCTTACATAGGCAGATGCATGGTAGCGCTGGGTCTTCATCCTATTCTGATTCAGTTCGCCAGTTTAACAAAAGAGAAGTTACAGAATTTGTCAGACGGTTCATAGGAGCAGCAACGTTGCAGAAGGTTACTCAAACTGATGTGGAGTATATATTGCCAAGAGAGTTTGTAGAAACATCGAATTTTGAAAACCTGCTGAAAGAGTTAACACAGAACTTATCTCAGTTTGGCCTAACAAGCTTCGGTTTAAGAGATACAAGCTTAGAAGAAGTGTTTTTCAAAATTTGCGAGTCGGCAGGGAACCTGAGAAACACGAACCGATTGTCTCAGAACCCAGACCAGGATCCAAACGAAAGTTTCTCGAATCAAACGGAGGACAATGAACATCATCCTGAACACAACATGGGCCATGCTAATGGAAGAGTTGAAGAGAACCAAGGTGACAATTCAGTTCTCCACGATGAATCGTACATGAGTGACGGAAGTTACAACGAACCTCAACCGCATGCTGCTAATTTACCCGATGTTGTGATCTCGCAGCCTAGCATTGCGTGCTCAACTGATATGCCCTTTTCTAATTTGAAAAGAGTCTCCGGACCTTCGTTGTATCTAAACCAGTTCGTAGCCTTGTCAAAGAAGAAACTGATTCTTACTGCTAAGAACCCGAAGTTATTATTGACACAAATTGCGTTTCCGCTTTTGTTCATGCTTGCAGCCATGTCAATGGCCTACATGTCATCGTACACAGGTGATTCGAAGATGTTGAGAATGTCTACTGCGCAGTATGAACAGTATCACGTGCCATTTGGAATGAAGAATGAAATTCCGGTAGCTGCAGTAGTTTCATCATTGCAGTCGACGGAAGAACAGAAACAGTCAGATGCTGGTATGTTCAATTCTCAAACTTAGCTTGACTCCTGCGTGTAGTAGATTGGATTTTAATGCAGACAGGATTTTTTAAATAAGCTTTTAGCATAAACTCAATTTTTAAAAAGTCTTCGCTGACTAAAATATTTGGCCTCCTATCTTTTGTTTCGCGAAGTGCAGATAATCAATTAAAAGCCGAAACTTGGTCAAACTGTGGTAGACGTGAAGCTGGAGGTCGTCCTCGGGCAATATCATTGCCATGGCAGAGGATCGATCTGACGAACTCCAAGTGATCTCATAACGCCACCTTAAATATTTATCATTTAGTGAATTATCCATTGTTCCTCTTAGGTCCCCTGGATCTAGTGGAAACCCTTCGTCTTGCATCCGGCGTCGGAGCAGACTGCACTCTGTTGCCCGGCATGAACGAGCAAATATTCAACGACTTCACAGTTCCCAACTTTCTCTACCCAGACTGGTGTCTGGTCCAGGGAACACCAGTAGAGCAAGTGCTAGGGTCCAGAGACGCCAATGCTTCCTTCTCATCGGCAATAAAGACATTCCCTCAAAAACGGAGTATGTTGGGTCAATGCGTGTTTGCTTAAGTTAACTCTGTTTTTCTAACAAATTCTCCGAAAATGATATCGTTACACGATATAAAACTAGGAGGTTCTAGTGTATATCATGAAAATGGATAAAAATGGTAATTGTCTGAGTATATTTGTGAGAGCAAGTGTCTCAGAGCAAGTGTCTCGTTATCGGCAACCAAATTTTTCTATTAATTAAATCTATAAGTTGTTTGAAAACAAAACAAAATAAACTTTATTATAAACAAAAAAAGTAGTCATCATGTTTTTTTTTGTTCAGGAAAAAAGTCTTCAAATTCGCCACGCTTAAATATGATTTTTTTTATCGCTGTTTGACGTTTGGTTTCTTTTTAAGTTCAGTTCATTTCCAGTACGGCGGGAATTCAATCGCGGACTTTAAAGACTTCAAGCATGCACATTACCTATAGACAAAGTGCGTACTTGAGGTTTATAAAGTCCGCGATTGAATTCCCATCGTACCTTTCATTACTATATTTTAGATTTTTTTTTGCTCATTGATCTTCGTCTCACTTCGTTTCGACTTTATCACCGTTCTGTTATTCAAACGCCGAGTTTACTCCCGCTTAAAGAAATGATATATTTAGGGCTATAACAGTCGAATTTTGGCTTTATTTTTCACGCCGATTGTTTTTTGGAGTCCTGATTTTCGATTCAACCTTAAATCCGACTCAAAGTTTTGAAATAGCGAAAGACGCGTGCTTATGCAATGACGTATAAAATAGCGTTTTAAGACTTTATCGAACAATTTCGGATTCAACTACAATTTTTTCCTCTTGAGCGTAGAAATTTGATAGATCCAAAAATTTTGATAAATTAAGTGAGTTTTAAAAACTTTTTTTTTCAAAGCTACAAACTCAGTTGCAGCAGTTGAATTTTATATTGCTGCAATGCAACTGCGATAAAAAATCTTATGGTATCAAAAATATGATACATTTGAATCAGTTTATTAGAAAATAATATATTGGCTAATTCGTTTCACCTGTTTGGATATCTTTTTTTTGTGTATCATCTTGTATCCCTTTTTTAAATTTGGTGATTTTTTAGTTTCATTCAAAAGCTTCAGTTTGGAAAAGTTCGAAAAACATTTCTTCCATTGAGTGTTTGAGTTGTTTGACATTGAGTGTTTGACGTTATTGAGTGTTTGACGTTATTACGTTTTGAATTAAATCTTTTTTTTTCTGTTATTGCTATGCTGGCAATTTTTTCATCACATTTTTCTGATAATTTCAGTAGGTTATTTAAAAAAATGCGTAATCAATTACATTATTTTTCAGTTTTTTTGCTAGAAGACAAAAATTATTCTTTTTTTTCTATATTTCTAGCATTTTATAATAATTTAGATATCGCAAGTTTTTCGAAGCTCAGCTTCGCCCTCGGTGTTTCAAATGATTATTACCCTTCCTATAAGCAAGGGTATTGTAATCGGATACTAGACTTTTTGCCCGTAAAAAACTTTGTTCACAGGCTGATTCCTAATTTCAAGATCTCCTTTTTCAGCACGTTGTACGTTTAACACCGAGTTAGTGCATTACTGGATCTACATGTAAAAAAATTCAGATAAAAAAAGTTTTTTTTTGGAGGCTTAATTGATTTCGGCCTAATTTTTGTCGGCTTATTTGCTTATTGAATTGAATTTGAAGAAAGTGACACGATGAAAGGCTTTTTCAAACACGTTTTTAACGCGCTGTTTTAGAAACACAAAAACTTTCAGTTTGAAAAAAAAACTTCGAACCGATTTTTTTTCGAATGCATGGTTTCTGATTATAACTTCAAATTCAGTCAACCATCCATAGGGCTTGCTTGATACAGCACAGTTCTGTGGTTTAAATCCGACCGGTACCTTTTTTTTAACAAACTTGAGTTTTTGGGCTATCGTATGTCTGCCTATTTTTTTCGGCTTGATTCCCGTAGCCCGATTTTTTTTTGAATTTGAAGTTTCAGCTTTCTTCCAAGTTGCTGTAACACTCATGTTTGAGACGACAGAGCCCACATGGAACCTGTTTCTTTGCAATTTGGAAATTTTAGGCTACGTTAGATTTTTGTGTCTACTGATTTGTGCTGACTTAATTCCCACAGAAAGGAGTTTATTTGAAAGTTCGACTTCTTTCTAGCATTCGGAAAGCTCTTTGTAAAGTTTTTAATGGTGCAGGTAATTTTGTTCCGGATATTTTGGGATTTTTTTAGCATTTGATTTCAATTTTAGTCATTTTTGAATCGCAAGTGGTGCGATGTTCAGCTTCGCCTGTGTTCAAATAGTGTTTTTCGTGTTTCAAAATCTAAATTTGAAAATCTTAGTTCCTGTTGTATGTGCGCTTGCGGCAACTAACGAAACAGTTTGTGTGTGTGTATTGTCTAAACTGTCCCCATTTTCAGCAGACCACCAGCCTATTGTAGGGATGAGGAGCAGTAGTAATAGTAAGTGTACACGTTTCTCATTCTCTCCCTGTTTAGATTTCTAGAGTGCATCTTTCCAGTCGAAAAGGCAGCAAGTATTTTAGTTATTGAGTCGTCTAGTGAAAAGAAAAGACTGTTTTGATAGAGATCTTTATAAATGTTCTCACGTGAATAGCTTTAAAACAGACATTTTAAAACTTCAAGTTATATTTGAATAGTCTAAAATTGGATTTCAGTCATGGACGACATATGTTATCATCGTATATCTTGGTCATGCTGCGAACCGACGTCAGGATTACTTGTTGCGAGTTGTAGTAAAAATATTATTATTTTTTTTCGATCTCTGCATAACATTTCGTGCTCGTTGCTTGAGGGTGAAGCAACATTACCCAGCCCAGAAAAATAACCAAAAAAATTGCATGTAGTTCTTAAACAGGGGCACAGCAGCGGTTCGCCGTGATAAGCTGTACAGCCCTTGTGTTGGTCCTTTCCCCCGTGGATAAATGGTCCTAATCTTCATTACAGCACCAGCACTAAGATAATTAAATCACAAACTTTAACCCTTTGAGTAACGCTCGCACTAGGCACCATTTCGAAACAATAGAGGTCTTACCCTTGAGAAATCTCCTCAATATTACCCTAATGCATCAAGTGAGCCCAGACTTCATTTTGGCCTAAAGAAAGACGCCAGTCATCGAATGAAAAAGTTGTGCTGATTCTCAACGTAGAATAAATTCGGGTTCTGTTGAGAAATAAATGAAAATTATATCATTTTTTGTTTTAGCCACAGTTGCACATTATTGTGAAGACACTGGGCACAGATGCGAAGAGTGCAGCAACGCAGTCCTCAAGTGCCACAATATGACGTCATCAGTAGGCTATGAGCAGTTCGTATTCGACACTTGGGCCAATGACAGAGTGGTGGACGTCAGTGAGGAGTCGAGTCGCTTCGGGTTCGATGTGGATGATCAGTTTCAACTGCATGCGTTTGACCATCGTCAGAGAAACCGGTAAGAATAGATGGATATATTTTTAAAGGGTTTCGTCTAATCGGGGGAGGGGGGGGGTCTAGCCAAATAAGTTCGAATCGATCCACTGGTTATATACACAACAAATTATTGGTCACCAAAATACGAAAATCACTGCTTTAATGGAGTGGGACTAAAAATTTGTTCAACCCAATTTGATCTTTTGCAGTTTTACTTATGATTTCTTATTCAAATCAAATCAAGTTCATTTGCTAAAAGGAAGGCAAACTGAGCTCTCTATATGTGGAACCGGAAGTGGCCCGAAAAAACGTGAACGGCTTCTAGTTTCCATAATGGATTTTAATAAATAGATTTACCAGGGAAAAAAATTGTTTTACTGATTTATTTTTCTCAACTGGGGTTAATTTTATCATGAAATTGCCAATCATAAATTGTTTTTTTTTTAACCGCCATATTTATTTTTGAAATTCGAAAATTTGAGTTTTTCAAAAAAAGGCTATCATTTTTTCCCGATTCCTTGGGTTAATTGACACTTTTTTTTGTCTGTTGCTTGTGGAGTAATATAGATAATTGTTTGACAAAGCCGGGAGCGCATTACTATCTTTCATCAAAATAAATCCGGGTAAACTCAAAAGTTAAATGTTGGAGTAAATTTACGCTCATAACTGTTTGCCCTTAGCTCCAAATTTTTGATGAGATTTTTTGATTTTGTTTTCTATGCCGTGTTTCTAGCTTCTTTGGCCTATTGGGTAATGCTTCTTTCCTCGAGGTTTGGTCTCGAGTTGGCGAAAGTAGGGTTCCCTATTGAAACTATTGAGTTTGTCGGTTACACAATCGGAGTCAGTATGGGGGGGGGGGCAGTTTCGTAAGAAGTTTCATCATGTGTCAATGAACGATTTAAAATAGTTCTTTTGGTTAACTAGTTTCTTTTGCGTCTTTTGTTTCAAGAAAATTTTGTTCACGCTCAAAATACATTTTGGCGGTGTGACTATTGATTTTTTTTTTCAAATTTTCTTAATGAACAGCGGAATAAAAAAAAACACCTGTTTGTCCCAATTTTCTTAAATTGAATTAGTTTTTTAAAGAGCGTCTCAAGCATATCAGATTTTTGACAGTGAAAGGAGCTTTTAGGCAATATTTTTTCCTTGAAGCTTGAAAGATGTTTTTTTTCCGAAAAAGGTTTTTCATTTGGGCACAAAAGTTAGTTGAAAATAACTTTGAGACAAGCTGATTAATGCTAAGATTATTAGCAAGGGTGTTGCGTTCGGGTACTAGATTTTTTTCCTTTCAATAACTTTGTTCACAGAATGGGTAATAAGTGGGAATGGTAAATTTTATATCGCTCATGCTCATTTTCCTCTTTCATTTTGCTTGTGTTTTCAACAAAAAGTTTGAGAAAGTATTGTTACTTTTTCGGATTCCCGTCGGTTTTTTTCTGGATTCTGATTTTTGTCCAAGTTTCTGTCGGTTCACTTTTCGTTTTTTCAAACTTCGTTTGTATATGTGGTAGGATGTTTTTATCATGGGTTTTACTATTATTGAAAATCAGTAATTTGTTAATTTAATTAGTCTGATTTTGATTTTGATTAATGTTTATTATACTCGCGAGAGCAACTGTTTTGTATTGGGAACCGGACATGTTTTTTCCGTAAACGACGTTTCTTTCAAATCTGTAAGAAATTGTGAAGTTGCTGTATTAGTGAACCTTAGCAACTTCAAGACTTTTCCAATTGTTCTGAAGGTAAGGCGCTTGTCTCTGTTCCCTTATGTCAGGGGTTCGTGTTTTTTTTGCTGTTTCATCTTATTCAACACAAGTTGTGTTTTTTGGCTGTTTTTCTGAAATTATTTTGATTTTGTGTCCCAAAAAAAACGTTTTCGATGTTCTGATTTTCATCTAATTGTCTTTACGCTAGCTCCGCTTTGACTCTGTGTTTATTTTTTCGACTTAACTCTTTCGGTTTATGTTCACAATGTCGGCATAAATGATTCCCATTTATGATTCGGCATAAATGATTCCCAATTCTTTGTAAGCCTGTTTCTGAAAATCATCCGATTTTGTAGGTGTAGTTTTGAGAAAGCTTCTTTCTTCTTGCAAAAAGACAGTGAATGGAAAAAGACAATCTTCTTACGCAATGATGTTTTTTTTGTATTGATAGTGTGGCGAAGCTCCTCTTGGCCTTTGTCTTAAATTATTTTTACTTGAGCTAAGATTGTGTTAAATGAGCAGTCCAGTGTTTCCAACTAAAGTGTCAAATAGATTGTCAAATAGTGTGAGCTATGATGTATCAGCTCAAATACAGCCCATTGTATAAAATTAGTTTGTATAATCAATGCAGCAGAGGTTCAATGCAATGTTAAGTGATTTGACTCTTAGTTGGGTGGTCTGAATTTTCGAATCTTTAGTCTCCTGAATTATTTGTATTTACGCTAGCCCAGCGTAGTGTAATACTACGAAGCAACTTTTGTACCAACCTAAGTCGCAAAGAAAAGTGCTCATTTGGTGGCATTTTTGGTATTTTTCTAATTATAGCCAATTTAATAGCATCTGTCGCAAATTTTTTTCAAGACATTACTGTTGTTTCTTATTTCTGTTTGTGTTTGCCCTTTTCTAACTTGTTTGCAAAGTGCAGTGTCACCTCTATGTTCAAAATTGATTATATCTTTTTTGTCTTCATATTTGCATGTTTTTTTTGAAATTTTCTCCTTGTAATCATGGTTCGATGCTTGTTTTATGGGAACCAACTTTTTTGTTCCGACATTTTTTTTTGTTTTCCACGCAAAATCAGGTACCACAAATAATGATCGAATTGTTTTGAGTAATATATCATATTAAAGCCCTATCAGTCGTGATTCGAACCACGTTTAAAAACTTCCAAAAAGTTTTTCCCAGTGTCGAGAATAACCGGTGTGAATTCGAGCAAAAAAAGCCAGCGAGCAGGCCTACAAGCTGAATATGTCTAGTTTAAGACCTTAAAACTCAATTTTAAGCAATCAAAACTAGTTTTTGTAGTTTTTAGCTTCTTTTTGGCAACCAAAAACTTCAAAAAATTAAAAGTTTTTAAAAGTTTTTTTTATAGTTTTTGTAGTCATTTTTCTACTTTGCCTTAATTACTATGACTATCTTAGTGGCCTAAATTCTGTTTTAGATCAGATCTTTTTTTCACACAAAGCAGAAAAAACTACACTGATTTGGAAAAAAACTTTCTAAACCGTAGTTTACTAAAGACTATGGTCGGAACATTCTGTGGTACTTGCACAGTAACCGGCTATCCTTGTTTTACTAATGATTTAAATACGAGACAAGATTAGCCGCAAAAAAATACAAATCGGTTTTCATAATCAATTTTCTGAAATAAATCTCAAGTCTGACAGAAACAAAGTCGCCAAGTTCGTTCTGACATTAAAAATTCACACAAGTTGCCAAAGGCCAAATAATAGAAATTAAAGGAAATGTTGTTTGATTAATTTACTGTCATAGTTTACATTTTGAGTTGATGTTTAGTTACGGTGGACTGGTGTTCAAAGACTATGTTTATGAGCCAGGCATGGTTGCTGATCTGCCCGACATTTACAACAGTTTGTTCTCCAAACAACAAGCAAAGGTACCTGCCGGCAACTACCGATCAAGTTCAAACTTTTATGTTTACATGCTGTCGAAAGCCATTCGACGAACCTAATGAACACTAAGGTTAATATCCAATGGAAATGCATGCGCAGATTGAAGTTGAGTGTTACATGTAAACCTTGTTTTTGTTAACAACTCGAGCTTTTATTTAGTTCGTGTGTTTTTTTTTGGTGTTTTTCCCTTTTTTCATGAGAGCTTATGCTTTCCAGGTCTACTACAACTCTAAGGGATACCATAGCATCCCGATCTACGTGAATGCAGCGAACAATGCCATCCTGAGGGCGAACCTGGTCAAGTTCAACAAGAGTGCAGACCCGAGAGAGTTCGGGATCACGACCTACTCTCAGCCAATCAGGGCAGGACACTTGCCTAGCAAGAACCTCATGTAAGCAAAACTCAACGAGATAAGTTATAAAGTTAATTATCTACAGGAAAAATGAAGGATTTAAAAAGTTCCGTTTTATGAAGAAATAGCGCATTGGCCCGCAAAATGTGGTGGCTTCACGATATTCTTTTGGGAAAAAAGGAACGAAGTCTTAATACTTTTTGGAGCTCAATTAATTCATCTGCCTGATTGGTATTGATGTTTTAAAATGAATGATACGTTTTTAACAGAGCGAGCGGCGTTGCACTCCAGTTAGTACTGCACGTTCACGTCACAGTTACACCAAGTCAACTCCTTCAGTTCTCTCTTGTTCTCTAAGATCTCATTAGGTGCTATTCGTATTCGGTCTTTTAATGAATTGCTGTGTGGACAAATGAAGAAATATGTAAGCGTTTAGAAGAAAACTATGTTAATGAACGAAACAAAGACAACTATTTAGGTCGCGCGGCCTCTACATTTGATAGGGGGATTATGGTCAATCGAAAAATATCAATCGTAACATAGTACTGAAATCCAAACAACTCTAAAATGATGCTTTGTTTTAAAACCCGAAAGTTGAAATGTTCTAAAACTGAGAATTATTTTTATTTTTTTTTCTCTGAGTTCATGGAAGTTTTTCCGCCTGTCTGTTGGCTATGTTTATTAAGTGACCAGGTGGTTGAAAATAAATGTGGCTCAACAGTTTTCAGCTTATAATCTGCCAGTCAGTCGTTCCTTTCATTATCTTTGCTTTTAAATGAAGAATTGTGTATGCTTACAGGGACCATGGAAACGACGTAGTGGTAGCCATGTTGGTCCTTACAGGATTCAGTTCCCTCCCCGCGAGTTTCCTCATGCACTTGGTCTACGAGAGAACCCACAAGATGAAACACCTCCAACTGGTGTCTGGCATGCACCCAGTCGTCTACTGGCTGTCTAACTTTGTGTGGGATTTGATAGTGTCATGTATACCCATATTCCTCAGTTATGTCATCATGGTCAGCATAGGAGTGAGGGCATACACTGAAGGACAGAATAGTCTCGCACTGCTCTATCTCCTCCTCACTTATGTGTAAGTGCATTCTCTATTTTCTTGAGGCAAAAGTTCTCGCAAGCGGCAATTAGTCGCTGGCGACCATTGGTAACATTTCAAAAAGCGACAATTCTTCGGAGAGCAAATTATCATATATAGAATTTAAATTGAATTGATTCAGCAATGCGCAGCAATTAAACGGCCATGTCGTAGGAGGTGTGGGATTCGATATGGAAGGTTTCTTCAACTACCAATCTATGAATCCCGATTAAAATGGATTGCTATTTTCATAATTGCGACTAGCCCGTCAGATTTGCTGATGGAGCGTGAGGTTATATTTTCTACAAGTGTTTTGAGTCCGGTGTCCACTAGAATCAGTACCCGGCCATAAAGTGGATATGTGAAAAAGACTGTTTTTATGCCTTTTTAAAGTGCTACTCACCGCGTTCTTGCGCTTTCGATAAGCAATGTTGGCTCTTTTCCAGTTTCCCCCCTTTCAAAATACCGAGTTTTATGTTTGTTTTACGTGTTATTACGGCTAAATGCGTGATGTTACGCTGTACAGTATGAAGAACAAATTAGTTCACAATTGTCGAATTGTTCACCACGCCAAATTTCATTGCAATATGACAAATGTTATATAAGCTTTTCAAAATTGATTTTGAAAGGGGGGAACTGGAAAAGAGCTGCAATGTGGTTGCAACCGGGTACTAGACTTTTTTCCGTAAACAAATCTGTTCACAGACTTTCGCACGTGAAGATGTTACACGTGTGTTTCTTGCTTCATAAATTCAAATTTGTGGAGAGTTTTGCGCTCTTGGTAAAGTTTTAACACCCATGCTTGAGACGACAAAGGGCTAGTGCAATTCGATTCAAAGTTCGATTCCAGTCGAGACCTGTTGTTTTTTATAAACTGCGAAAATTAGAGGCTAATTAAGACTATTGTCTGTCTGCTTATTTTTTTAACGACTTAGTTCCCACAAAAAGTAATTTTTTGAAGGTTCGACTTTTTTCTGGCAATACAAGTCTCCTTGTAAAGTTTCTAATCGTTCAGGTTATTTTGTTCCTGTATTTTTGGCTTTGCAATTTTCTCTTTTTAATATAAAAAAAATCATTTTTGAAGGTTTTTTATTTTTCTTATTTGCTTTAATCTTAGTCATTCATTTTTGTATCGCAAATGGTGCGAAGGTCAGCTTTGACTCTGTGTTAATTTTTTATCGTTGATTTTCTTGTCGTATCGGATCTCAAATTGGATCTTCTCTAGGTACCTAGTAACGAGTCCCCCCTACAAAAAACCAATTTAGCGGTTAAGCATAATTACACCGAAGACTTTAGTCAAGGTGTTATGGTATCGTGTAACGGGTTTTTTTTTTAATGTTGTCAAGTGTCGACAAATAACGTCCACAGTTATCAATTATCATGTGGGCTGGACTATATCGCGCTATGTCACATGATTGCGTATGTTTGTTTCTTTATTTGTTCATCTTTATTTATTTAATTATCTGTTCTTCTATTTATTTAATTATGTTTAGTTTGCTTATATTTATTTATAACCTATACATGTGTTAGTACGATTTTTAGTTCTAGAACTGTTATTTCAGGCTCTTTCTCGATATAGCAAAATTTTGGTGTATACATGTATTAGTACGATTTTTTGTTCTAGAACTGTTATTCTTCAATTATTAGTTGTTCAAGTTGTTTGGTTTTTGCTTCAGTTTCTATGCCTTCGGTGTATTGCGCGTAGCGCCTATGTTTGAATTTGGCAAATAGCAACGAATCTAATAATGTGTGGCTAGTTAAAAAGATCGTCGTTTTTTAGCTGGGCAGTGATCCCGTCAATGTATCTGTTCTCGTTCGTGTTCAATGAGCCAGCCACTGCCTACGTGGGACTGGGGGTGTCCAACCTCCTCACTGGAGTCATCATGGTCATCATCGTCTACATGTTTGACACTGTAGTCAGAAACGATGTGAGTCATTCATTTGAAACAAATTCCAATTAACATTTATATCTCTTTTTAATCAAGTTGTTTTAATTTCAAGAGCTCCAACTAATTTTTTGGAAGAACATGGGTCATTAATGAAAAAGAATAAGAAAGCACGCTTATATTAGCGCGAAAAAAGAACGACTTTTAATTTTTCGAAAGTTTATATGTTTCCAAGCTGAATGAAAGATTGGCCCATTGATCCAGTTTTCTTTAATTAGTTTGCTAAAATGAACAAGGTTGCTCGTATCAGGGCGAAGCCCTGAATGTTCCGACTGGCTATTAAGGTTTATGGAGAGGTAATAACATTTAAGAAAAATTTAAAAATAAAAAATGAAAAATTTTTTCTCTAAAATTTGAAATTTTTTATGAAAATCATCACCCCACACGCCATATAAAGTACAAAAGGATAGATTTCGCTGCTTGTAACAAATCAATTATGGCAAACAAGCTTCGTTAAACCAATTTGGAACGATTTCTAAGACGGATTAAATCTCGCTTACGCGTTAATAGCGCGAAATATATCGCGTATTAATTGTCCCAAATTGGCCAAAATGGCAATCTTTAAACCACCATAACTTTACAAAAAATGATCACAGGTGAAATATCTTTTCAAATTTGAGCTCAGGACAACAATACCTTTCGAATGATATAAAAAAATCCGTCAAAAATGGCTAGTTAAAAAGTCGAAATTTGTCTGAAGAAAAAAAAACCCACCCGAGCACAAATATTCCGTTACTTTTGTATCGAAAGTCGGAACAATAAAGTGCCAATCATAAACTCAAAGCGTTTTAACCGTATATATGAAAGTTGGAAACGTCTAAAATTTTGAATCATTTTTTTCGGTTTCTTTCTGTTACCTTTTTCCAACCTTGTCTTGGCCCTGTAATTTGGAAAAAATAAGCTATACGACCAACAGAGCGGAAGTTATGTATTGCATAGTCTGAATTGCATGGAAAATATAAATAAATAAGTGATGCTTGTTTGTATTTCAGGAGGTGATATCGCAAATCAACTCTATCCTGAAGGCGTGTTTTGTGGTGGTGCCCATCTACAATGTGGGCCACGGATTCACTTACATCGCCTTTAATCAGATCCTCAACGACTTCTACCTCTCATTCGGACTCGACGAAAAGGTCAGCAGTCCAGACAAATAGTCACTGGAAAGTTAGAGTTAGAGGAAACTTATAAGCTTCTAGGGTACAGTATAATCGCCAAAATGGACGAGAGCTGAATGGTTGCCTTGGCATATCGGACAAAGACATTTCAGCTGATTTCAAAATGCCTTATTAATGAATGGTTGCCTTGACATATTGGACAAAGACATTTCAGCTGATTTCAAAATGCCTTATTAACCAAAATAAGTAAGGCATTTCAGCCAAAGACTTTACGCTGCTATTTGGCTATTTGAGTGCTTTATTTTTAAGCTTTTGATTGGCATTCACATATTTTGTTGTTGCGTTCCTGATTTTTTTTCAGGCTATGAGAGTCTTTCGACAATTTTATTTTTTTCATCTTTCAAACGCGAGATCAATCTTAGCGAAACTAGATGTTTTCTTGCATTAAACTTGTTGAAACTGTCATTCCATCCTTCGACAGCATTGTTAGTTCGATATTCATCATGAACCATTTTATGAACATTCCATTCGACCACCGCATATTTTGGCTCAACTCTTTGAGCACCTCGCACTGGACAAACGTATGTCTCCTCGAAGTAATCGCATATTTGCTGAAATGATTCCGACAAGTCCTCTTTTCGCAACTCTTGGAATCCGAACATAACGTCGTCTTTTGGCACAGTTGCGAGGCAAATGAGTTTTTCTTTTAGATCAAATTCATCTTCATCTAAATAATTCCTTTGGCGTTCCATTTTTTGTTCATTGTGTCATACCGTTTTGCCAAAATCTTCTTCAGAAAAAAGTGTTGCTCGATCATTTTTTTGTATCTGGTTTCCAACGCATCATTTCCAAATCTTTATAGATGGGTACAAAAATAAGTAAATTGCTTTCAAATTTGAGCGAATTGTTTATAAATGTATCAGGTATAGCATTTGTCCTACCAGAAGCACGAATGATGTCGAAATCAACATAGTTGAGATCATTGAAAGTCTTTATTACAGAAAAGATTTCATGCGTTCCACGTTTATGCAATATCTCAATTAGCAAATGCACTAAAATCTCAAAAATGCACTATCTTAAAAAGCCGTTGATCGATCATTTGGTTTCTATCAGATTCCTTTTCCGAATCTTTACATAGATGGATGTAAAAATAGTTGAATCGCTGTCAGATAGTTCCAGGTTAACATTCGACCAGCCAGAAATTCGATTGATGTCCAGTTCAACATGTTAAAGGTTTCTGCAAGCCTTAGTCGAAGTTATGGCTCTACGAGCTCCACGAATCTGCAGTATCTTAAAAGTTCCTCTCCAATCCAAGCTTCTCTGAAGATTTCAATTGAGTTTCGTTGAACGTTATTTGGAAAATGTAAAGCGTTAAAGTTACTCGTTTTCGATCTGTATACTGTCAATTTTTGCTTTCATTTTGTTTGGCCAGCTTTCTTTGTAATCATTTTAAAAGGAATAGTTTTCTTCTAAATGTCACCTATAGAAAATGGCGTCATATCGACAAGATTCATAAATTTTATGCGTCAAGATCACTGCCGACTCTTTTGCAATTACATTTTTCTCGTCTTGGTGTGCTTTTCGATTGGCAATTGTTCGATTTTCCTTCTATGGCATTTCGTTAAGCTCAGTAATCATCGACTGAAACGAAAAAAAAAATTGGATTGCATCTGTAAAATCTTTCATAACAGACGAACTGTTATTCCGATCAAATCGTTACGTACCTGGCTTCCAAATTTTAACATCTATGGTTTAAAATTTTGAGCGAATTGCTTATAAATCTTCAGGGATAGCATTTGCCCTACCAGAAGAATGAAAGATGTCGAAATCAACGTAATTAAGATCACTGAAAGTTTTTATTGTAGAAAAGATTGCATGCGTTCTACATTTATGCAGTATCTTAAATTCTATGTTGATTTAATGTTTTGAGGCTCGTAAAATTATGCTGAAAAATGCATGGTGTTATTTTTTTGGACTCCTAGATATAAATACTTCCAAGGGTTTACCGGGACAAAACTGAATCGAATATTAATATGTCGCAGTTTCTGCATCTTGATGGGCGAATATTCGGTCCTCCTTGTATCGAATGTCGGTTATCAGAGAGCATCGACAGAAATAAAAATTAATAGATAGCGTCTAAAATTTTTCATAAATAAAACGCTATTCCGATCAAAATAAGACACCTATATGGTTACAAAATGTTTTTTATTCCGTATGAACTTTTCATGGATAACATAACGCTGTAGCTGAAGACCGGATGACGTGGCATCAGACCAGACTGATTTTTTAAAGTTACGAAATTTCTACTTCCTGATAGCGGCTGTGAAAAGACTCGTTGTTGTTGTTGTTTGCTGTGGATCCCGTCACAGATTGGGAGGGCATAAATGCCCAGTGCGGCGAAGATAGTCCAGGACTTTGGTGGGTTCTTTCTGTAGGAAATTGTAGTCAGGATTCGGACCGAAGATTTCGTTTCTGATATTCTGCAACGAGGGACAGAGAAAAAGATAGTGCTCTGATGTCTCTGGTGCGAAAAGATTCGTGATAGCGACCACCAGAGAGTGAAATGCGTTGAAATGACTCCCGATCTAATGTCGAATTCTATCACAACCAGTTTGTTCTGACTCTTATGCAAATACAGTTTCCACATCTTGGTGGGCGTTTATGGGCAAATGTTGGATCTTCCTTCGATCGCATTTTATTAAGCTGATTAAGTATCGACCGAAACAAAGTTAAAGTTTTGACTTAGAAAGGTATTTCATAATTAACTAACTGGTATTTCGATTAAGTTTTCACGCATCTGGTTTCCAAAAAGTGACTTCCTTTAAAAATAGTACTTCACTATAAATATCCATTTGATTAAGGCAATTATAAAATTCAGGTAAAAAAAGCGACAGTTATTAAATCAATCAAAAGTAGGGCACACAATCAATAGAACATCTTGAGCTGCAAAATTGTATCCAAACAATGAGGATCATTTCTGTTCGCTTTTAGAGCAGAGTAATGAAACAATTTTTTACCACAAATCTCTCACAGATTTTTTTTTAGTTTCCCGCAAAATGCGTTTGTTTTGTTTGTTTGCAACCCCACAGTTATGATAATTTTGTTAAAATAGAGCTTGTAAAGTTGTTTACAGACATCAATTAATTTTAGTTTGAGCTTACCTTAACGCAAATCATGTTAGTACTTAGGAAAGTTGTAAAATTTATGTATTGAAAATCTAGGGGTTGAGAAATTAAACGATAAGCAAATTAGACGGAGCTTCTTAAAAAGAAATAAGCTAGGTTATTTTTAGAGATCGTTTTTAACATCAGTTGGATTTCTTGTATTCCTGTTGATATTTTGTGAAAAATTTCGGCTCTAGTGCAGGCTTTCGGGTGGTTCTTCAAATTGGTTGAGTTCTCTATCACATCCGATTTATTTGTGGTTTGTATTATCTGCATGCATCCCTTTTACGTGAATTGCCATCCCACCCCTACTTTAGCTTTTATTGCCGCATTTTCGACGTATTCATGATTCGTTTTTCTCGTACTGTGTTCTCTTAATTTCTTCTGCGTCGTTTCGTCCTTTCTCCTGGCTTGTTTCCCTTTTTGAAATATTCATGAATCGTTCGCCTACCATGCTCCGCCATAACTTTCTCTCCTTAATTTCATGTTCCAAGTAAATTTCGTCCCATCCGGCTTTTGATAGATTTATCCAGCATTTTGGTGTGTTTCTTGTCCTCCTCTAGTTCATTTCTTTTTCTTCCGTCGATTTTGTCCCTCCGAGTTTATTTTGTTGGCTGATCTCGTCTCCCGCATTCTTATTACATGTCCCAATTTTTCAGGGCTCCTTTTTTTCGGTTTCGATTCGTATTGATTTGTCATTTAACATCTTCCTGAATTTCCACGCTTTTTGATGTTTTCTTCCATCTCTTTTAACGAAGGTACATTCTCCATACTCCAAATGTAGCTTTATGTTTTGAACGTTTGATTTCTCCAACTCTCCATGATCTGGTATGACAGTTGTATTGCATTTTACTTTCCACAATCGATTCAACATCTGTTCTTTCTGTTAATCGTGTATTTTTTTTTCATTTCAAACCACGCTCCTGTGACTCTTCTTACTCTTCCTTTTAAGTCGATAGCTTCTCCAAACCCCAATACTGAAACGATTGAAACGACAAAACAAATTGGATAGCAGCATTAAAGTTCCGATCAAATCCTTACATACCTGGCTTCCAAAATTTAACTTACATGGCTACAACTTAAGTGAATAGTTTATAAAGCATTCAGAGATAGCATTGTCTCTAACAGAAGCAGCAATGATGTCAAAATCAACATAGTTAAGATCACTGAGGGTAATTATCGTAGAAAATATTGCAAGCGTTCTATGTTTATGCAGTATCTTAAATTCTGTGTTGATTTAATTTTTTGAGGTTCTTAAAACCTTACTGAAAATTTTAATATGTTAGTTTTTTTTGGGCTGCTAGATCCTATTATTTCAAAAGGTTTACCGGGATAAAACTGAATCGAGTTTCTTTGCGCTTCTTTCTTCATAACTCGTCGTTTCGTTTATATCCTCCAGTGTTTCCAAAATCTCAATTTCTAGTACATAATTTTCCATAAAAGTGGAGGATTTATTCTGGGATAAGCTTTCTGAAGAAACAAACTAGCTAGTTCTGTAATGCTCCCTTCTAGTTCATTTGTATTTTTGTCATTTTATAGTTCTTTTTGTTTTATCATTATTTGAGTTGAGTCTGCTGTTGATCTTCCTTGTGGGAATCCATATTGATTGTCGTCGAAAAGACCAAATTTCTCCCCCCAGTCTTTTATTCGTACTGTTATGAGTCTCGCAAGAATTCTTGTTGTAATTGATAGCAAGCTTGTTATCTGTTTTTTTTTTTCGAAATTAATGCTGAAGAATGGGCTGACACAGCTATATAATTAGTTGTAGAAATGTTCTTTGAAATGTTGCGTTTTCAAATGCTCTGAAAAATCACCAGAGATTGGAGAGACGATGGAAGAGCATTGCAGAGTTTTGCGCCAGCGAAATCAATGCTTTTCTGTCCGACTTCTGTCGTCTTCTGTGGAAAATATGATTTACTGCTTTAAATTTATGAAAATCATTTCTCTATGTTAAGTAAATATCTCCTTGCAATTAACTGAAATTTGTTAGTTGTTTAATCTATTTTCAGGTTGTCGAGCCATTCGACTGGAGCGCCACGACCAGAGGCATCGTAATCAACTTCGTTCAGGGATTCGTGGCGTTCGCTTTAGTAATTCTCTGCGAGTATAATCTTTTCTTGCAAATAAGCGTCAAAACAGAAGAACCTCTTGAGGAACCCCTGAAGAGTGCCTCAGATAGCGAAGTGAACAAGGGATCCATCAGATTTGCATGCGACAGTCCAGGAGCTGTTCAGATTGTGGATCCGGATGTCAAGGCAGAACGGGAACGCGTGAAAAGAAGCAGAGATCCGGTTCGACTGATGAATTTGACGAAAGTGTATACTTCCTTAGACATGGGAAGGTTCAGAGCTGTCAACAATGTCAGTGTGGGTATCAGACAGGGTGAAATTTTTGGTCTGTGTGGATCAAATGGGTCAGGGAAAACAGAGTTGTTTAAGTTGCTGACGTTGGACTCCCATCCATCAGATGGTACAATCTTCATCGACAATCATAAGTACGTGGCAGATTGAGCAGATTTGTGATTTATCTGAACTACATGGAAATCAGATTGAAGATATCAAAAACCAATTAACGTTCAGAACCCTAAAGCATTTAAAGGTTATCTTTACTACAGGAGACATCGCATAGTCTGAATACAATTTTTTGAAGGGAAGCGTAATGAGAATTTGAGGTACGATTTTTAGCTATGTTTCAGTGCGGCTAAGAACAAAAATGCCATCTGGAGCATAATTGGTTACTGTCCCCAACATGAAGCTTTGTTTGGAGAGATGACTGGTCAACAACATCTAGAATTGTATGCAGCATTGCGAGGCTATTCAAGGAAATCTATGCCTAAGGTACTTCAGTTTTTGAAGTCTGACTGAGCAAGATGCCACTTATTTCTCTGCACAAGCTCAGTTTTTTTTTCCAGCGCAAGTCGCACATTTTAGTTTAAAGTTTTCTATGAAGTATATGCGTTATTTTCACAGCGTACGATTTAGGTATATCTGCTTTTTTTAAACACATTTGATGCTAATATCTGAAATGGTATAAGCGCAAAAAAAGTTTAGGCATCGCTAAGTCGGTGAAGCAAGTGAATATTGGATCTGAGTTATAAACCAGTATATTCAGTTTTAGAGTCGATGAACGTAGTTCAGACGCTTATATAGGCTGTGATTATAATTTTTTTCTACAGGCCCAAATTTACTTTCCGCAGTTTGACTTTTTGATTTTTTTTAAATTTCAGTGTATTTTCATTGATGAATTCCACTGTTGAACAGCCAAATTGTAAAGGTCATCAAAAATATGCTCGACTTCTAGGTTTAAAAGATGATTTTTATGTTCCCTTTTAATAAATCATAAATCCAGATTTAAAGCGGAATTAAAATTTTACTATTGATCCTGTTTCCCATATTGGGTAAATGTTATCAAAAAAGTGTCAATCATAAATTATTCTAGAAATTCAATAAGCTTCAAGGCAATCTTTTTTTCTTCGAAATTCGAAAGTTGAGTTTTTCAAAAAAACAATTAGTTTTCTTATTGTTTTTCTGTTTATTTGTGTTCATTGACTCTTCCTACTGTCTGTTGGCTGTTTCTGATTTGAAGTTGGGTTTCATATTTTCCTGTATTTTTTGCCTATTTTAGTAATAGCTATTCAAAGTAATAAGTCATTTTACCCTGGCAGAGCGTAGTGTCATAATATGATATCCACTTTTTTTCCAACCCAAGTCGCAAAAAATTGCTCATTATTTGGTGGCACTTTTGCATTTTTATTTAGTTTTTTGCTTTTTCACGACCTAAAATCCTTTACTACCCGTCTTATTCATATCTGTTTTACTTATGATGCATAGCTTTATATCATTCTATCTGGCGTATTGGTGGCTACTGTTTTGAAGATTGTTTAGCGCGCATGGCGCAGATGCTTGGACGTGGGACTGTTAATATCTAAGACTGGGTTTAGATTTCGGCGCGGAGGTTAGATTACGTTATTTAAAAAAATCATCTTTTTTTAGAGTCAATGAATGTAAAAGTCAATCAATAAAGAGTCATATATATAGGTAAAGACGATTTGTTTTTTTTCTCAGGAAAAAATCATCAAGAAAGTTTTTTACTCTCAATTTTGATGGCTCGCGGTCTAACTTTTGATTTCGTTAAGTTCAGCTCAATTCCTCTGTTAAAAGAAAGGCAAACTCCACTATCGAATCACAAAAATGTAAAGGTAACGAAAAAAGGTAATGGATTTCTAAGTTCGAAAATGAATTTTATTTTTCCGATTTCCCAGCGGAATCAAAAAAGTTACCTATTGACCCAGTTTTCCCAAATATAAGTTAAAAGTCAATCTAAGTTCGAAAATGGATTTAATTTTTCTGAATTCCCAGCGGAATCAAAAAAGTTACCTATTGACCCAGTTTTCTCAAATATAAGTTAAAAGTCAATCATAATTTGTTCTTGAAATTCAAAGAGCTTTCAGGTTGTAAAAATTTTTTCTTGGAAAGTTTTTTTTTCTTGGAAAGTTTTTTGGTTCATTTACTCTTTTCTTTTGGCTGTGTTTAGAAAAGCGATTCAAATAGAAAAGTGATTCAAATAGAAAAGTGATCGTCGTTTTGTAAAACTCAACTTTATTTTTTTGTTCCGAATTGTGCAATAATCCAACAGTATAGAAAACTTATTATTGAAATAGTGCCAACTTGAGCAAGCGCAGAAGGAGTTTCAATCTGTTGAAGGGCCGCTGAGAACTTTTTATTAAATAATATCTTATTTAGACATATTGGTTAACCAATGTACTATTTATCCAGAAAAGAAATAAGATTATAGATTAAAGAGAAAATAGAAAGTTTCGAAATCTTATAGTTCACGTGTCTTGCATCTTATTAACGTGTTTTTTCTGGAGTATTCGACTTCGCTTGAAAATTTTTAAAATTGTTTTGAGTCGGTAGGTGTATGTTGCATCATCGTAGGATGAACAGAAATTCGTTCTTCCTTTTTATATTGAATGACTTAAATCTGTGATATGATCAAAATTTGATTCTGTTATCGGAACGACTGAGAGTGATTTTGACCAGCTGATAATTCCAAATATACTCTCTCTGCCGCAATGACACACTGTGAGCGATGTATTATAGAACTGCCAAAAATGATGAACAACACAGTTAATCAAAAAAGTCAATTGACCTATTTCGTTTCAAAAAGCTAGTGTGTATGTCTCTTGGAGGTTTTCATTCAAAGTTCACAGATTGGATTGCCGTTATTAACTAACTTCGTCTGTTCCGATTTTTTGCTACTTATTATACAGTGCTGATTTAAATTATCCGGACAAAACAAACAAAACTTGAATTTTCAAACGCGTTTTTCTCAAATTGGGTTAACATTAGACAAAAAGTGAAGAGAACAAAGTTGCTTAGAATTTCATCAAAATTAATATGGTGCAATTTTTTCTCCGAAATTCTCAACCAAAACTTTACCACAAAAATGGGTAATTTTGGCTTTTTTAATTAATCAAGAATTACACTGAAACTACTTTGTTAATTGATGAGAAAATTATATCACAAGAAGCCTCCTACATAGCCCAACAAAGTTTAAAAAGGGTTAAATCTCCAAGGGTTAAAAAGGGTTAAATTGAAAAAAGCCAAAATTACCCATTTTTGTGGTAAAATTTTGGTTGAGAATTTCGGTGAAAAAATTGCACCATATTAATTTTGATGAAATTCTAAGCAACTTTTGTTCTCTTCACTTTTTGTCTAATCATAACCCAATTTGAGAAAAACGCGTTTGAAAACTCAAGTTTTGTCCGGATAATTTAAATCAGCACTGTAGCTCCACCGCAGCAATATGATCTTCTGTTTTTATAGGTGATCAAAGAGACGATTGCGGAGATGGATTTGATAGAGTGTAGGGACAAAGAGACTGACACCTACTCTGGTGGAATGAAGAGGAAGTTGTCGGCTGCTCTGGCTCTCATCGGGGATCCAAAAATAGTGGTGCTAGATGACCCCACTGCCGGAATGGACCCAAGGTCAAGGAGGTTCCTCTGGACTCTCATCAAGAAACTCAACGAGAAGGGCAGGTTGGTGATTTTGAACACTGTTAGCTCTATGACATTTAAGTCAAAAGAAAAACGAATGAAAACCCAATTTTATTACTCCGTATACCATATCATTTCTAAATAATTGTCTAGTTATATATGAAAGCTTATAAGAAAATTGGATCTTGTTAAAAACTCTCCTCGCCGCCGTTGCAAAGACGAGGGATTCGTCACAAAGTTTTTGCGTGCGTGTGTGTTTTGAGGGCTAGGGGGACTTTTAATTAGTCCTCAACCTATTGATCTTTTTTCGATTTGTTGTTTTTTTGTCCGGCTTTTTGGCCTATGTTATATCGGCTCAGTGGGCTCATATTGTTTTATTTGACAGGCGAATAAGGTTTTTTGTTTATAATCTGAGGGTGAGGGGGACTTAATAACTCAATTTGTTAAAATCTCTTTTTTTTAATCTTCGACGATAAATTTCGGCCTTATTATATCGGCTTAGTGGCCTCGTATTGCGTCGTTGGGCGAGCAAAAAAAGTTTTCGTGTGCTTGTTTTTGTTTGCGTGTTTTGAGGGCCATAAGGACATAACTATTTATAAGTCCTAAATCCTGTGGAGTTTTTTTCAGTTTAAAGGGTTTCTGCTAAGGTATTTTCAGCTTTTAACGCTTGGTAAATTTTCGCTCGATACTAATTTCACATTATATTTTCTTGGCATATTTTTGTTTCAAAACTAGCCATTTTCATTTTGATAGATCTAGTTGTTTTGACATTTTCAATTTTTTTTTCAATTTCCGACTTAACGGCTTTTTGGTTTTGTATTGCAGGTGGCGCGAAGCTCAGCTTAGCGTCTGTGTGTAATTTGAAATAGAAATTCCCCGTTTGAAGCATTGAATGTTAAAGTCAAGCCGGAGAACGTTGAGCTTGTTAAAATTTGATGATTTTCGAAAAAAAATTTTAAAATTTTGCTGTAGATTTCTAGTTAGGGCATTTCACTTGAAGTTGGCTTTCGTAGGTATATTTGACTTGTACTGAAAATAGTTAGTACTAACTATTACTAAGAGTAGATGAACATAGTTCAGACTCTCATATAGTTCGCAATGATTTTTTTCGTTTTTTTCTCGGAAAAGTCTTGAAATTGTTCAGGCTCAATTTTATTTTTTCGTTGTTTGATTTCTTTTCAAGTTCAATTCATTTTCTTTGTTGAAAGGAAGACAAATCCAGTATCGAACAGCAAAAGTATAAATATCACGAAAAATGTGATTGAATTCTTGTTTCGATGTGGAATTTTCAGATTTCCCGGCGAAATAAAAGTGTTACCTATCAATCCAGTTTCTTAAATTCGTTTATTTTTTAAGAAAAAAGTGTCAATCATAAATTGGTTTTGAAATTACAAGCGCTATAAGGCCATCTATTTTTTCTTTGAAAGTCGAAAGTTGAGAAAGTAGAGAGGGTATTGTTTATCTGTTTACTTGCGTTCATTGACTCTGTATGTTGGCAATGTTTAGGCTTGCAATTAGCAAGCTTTATTAAAATTCGATGAAAGTAGTTTAGACTCTTTTATAGTTTGTGATGTTTTTTTTCAGGAAAAGTCTTAAAATTTGTTCCGGCTCAAGTTTACCTTTTAGCGGTTTGACTTTTGATTTCATAGTAAGTTTAGTTCATTTTCTTAAGAATTTATTTTTCAGATATATCCCATCGAATTAAAACTGGACTATTGATCCAGTTTTCTCAAATTGGGTTTATTTTCTTGAAAAAGTCGGAATCATACATATTTTTAGAAATTCTTTGTGAAAAGGAAGGCAAACTTCATTGTCGACATCAATCTTCGAATATGGAGTTCAGTTATCAGGTTTTCTAGCGAAATAAATTTTTCTACTTATTGATCCAGTTTTCTCAAATTGGTTTAATTTTAGTGTCAAAAAAGTGCCAGTCATAAATTTTTGTAGAATGTCAAAGAGCTTTAAGCGCATCTATTTTTTTTCTTTGAATATCGAAAGTTGATATTCTTTCCAAAAACAAGTCAGTATTTTTTCTGTTTACTTGCGTTCATTGGACGTTTTCCAACTGTCTGTTGGCTATGTTAGTGATTATTTGCATCTGTAAATTGTGATTTGGGTGTGTGATGTTGATGAATGTTTGCAGGACAGTGATCTTTGCCTCGAATAGTATGGACGAGTGTGAGCGTCTGTGTTCCCGTCTGGCCATCATGATCAGAGGCAGCTTCATCTCTCTGGGCAGTGTGAATCACCTGAAGAACAGAAGTGGCGACATGTACAACATCAAGTGCAGACTGGAGAGGGGTGCTGACTTCTCCCTCATCGCCCAGTTCATGACTAATGAGCTGCCCAAGGCTGAAGTTGTTGTGAGTTAAAAACTACCTTATCACCCACAATGTTCAAATGTGCAATGGTTAGCTGCGCATTATTTGATTACACGTAACCATGCACCAAGACTTGTATTCAGAAAAATAAAGGAATCCACTTTTTGATGTGCTACTGCTGGTTTGAAAGCTTGGATAGTTTTGGGCAATTCAAAGAGAAGTTCTATAATTTGGAGATTAGATGGTTTGAATTGTTTTGCAGGAGGAGCACTTCAACGTGATCACTTACGAGGTGGCGGCTGAGCACCTGAATTTGCCACGGGTCTTTTCGCTCCTCGGAACACACAAGGCCAAACTGGGCATTGTAGACTACAGTGTCAGTCAGAAGACACTCGAAATGGTCAGTAATTACAAAAGCCAGAGCTAGCGAGCGTAGTTTTTGTATTACGAATCCACTTTTTTCTAATCCAACCGGCAAATTAAGTATTCATTTGGTAGCACTTTTGCTGCATAGTATTGGCGATTGAGTAGCGTCTGATCTATCAGCTTTATTGGTGGCTACTGTTTCCTTATTGTCAAGATGAAATAGCGCCGATGCGTGGACATGAGGCTCGTTATTTCGGGATGTTGGTTCGATTCCGTAGACAGCATTGCGAGGCCAAACTTTGCATTTTGTGCATTGTAAGCGGATTCCGCAACAAGGACGCGCCCATTGATTTTCTTTTGTTCTTTCATTTCCTTCAATCGTTCCGACAAAATTTTAACATGTTTAAAGACTTGTCTCTGGAATCCAGGAACATACAGACACAAAATTGTGCGCCTGTCCAGTGCACAGTTTGGCCTCGTAATGAGTAAAAATCTATTTTTCGAGGCGTACTTTTTTTCGTTATTAAAATTTTTCCTATTGACCCAGTTTTCTTCATTTTAGTTGATTTTATATAAATAAGTTTCAGTTATAAATCTTTCTTGAAATTCAAAGAGCTTAAGATCATACATTTTTTCCCAACTGCATGTTCGCTATGTTTGATTTTTATAAGCTGTCTCAAACTGTTTGGAAGCTCATTTTTGAACAGCTGAAGAAACCTTTTATCTTTTTCGATTTGATAAAAACTATTTTCATGAAAATTTATGGGATGGGGTTTTTTATTTTTTTTATTTTACTTTTCGAGACGCTTTCGAAAATTTTCTAACTTTTTTGAAAATTTAATTTTTCTGAAAAACTACTCGACCGATTTTCAAAAAAGTGGTACCAATAGGAAATCCGCCCACTCATCTGTATATCTGCATACTCCCCTAATCTCTCTCTTTCTTACCTTACGCCGCTTTCTACAGTCTTCGAAAGCGTGTGGGGGAATTATTGACCCATATTTTTGGATTATTCTACATTTTTTCGAAAACTATCCTCCCAAATATTGGATTTTAGTTTCAAAATAAAGGAGGGCTTGTGGGGAGCTCCTCTGTATAAGCAGTTACACCTAGATTTTTTCACACAAAAAGTTTTGACCCTCAGAAACGTCAATTTTACAATTTTTGACCGTTTTTTGAAACTTTTCTCGAAAAATGCCCTCCCAAATTTGAGGTTTTGGTTTCAATGCGTAGGACATGTTGTGGGAAGCTCTGCTGCGTAAATTGTTACGCCTAAATTCATCGGCTGTCTTTTTAAAGGGCTATATGAACATTTTGCGAAGGGAGCTTCTTCTAGAGCAGCAGAACAAGGATGCCAACTTGATCAACAATATCCAGTCCAGTTCCAAACATCAAGACACTGCAGAGTCTAGAAATAAGCCATTTGCCAACCTCAGCTCGCGTGCCAACTTCGTACGTGCTCTCAAAAAAGATCAACAAACGGGACACAGACTGGCAAGACACGCGGAAACTTCCACTTGAATGCCTAGTTACGTAACCGAAGTCAAAGAGCGATGCGAAGTGTCATGTAAGCGATTCAAAATAGAATCAAGAGTTCTTACCAAGGAATTAAACATGAGCCGTTTGCAGGAACTGTCATATATCTTTGGAAAACACATATTATTAATCAGGGACTTTAATGTAACAGTAAAGTTTCTTTAAGTTTAACTCACAATCAACAATCATTTCAAAATCGGTCACTGCTCGATTACAATCAGTAAATTATTAGACTCCTTAGAAAAAATTTAAATTTATATTGATTAGTGTAAAATTGATTTGACGATAGGCAAATCTTATTTAGTCCTATATGTGATTTTGTATTTCTTATAGGGATCTATTCATAGGTATCGTACAATGTTTTAATGTATTTCCATGTTCATCCCAATTTTATTTTGTATTTTGTCCTAAAATTAATTATTTTTGTTTTAAATCAATTTTGGATCTTCGCGTAATTTATTTGTATTTATTAATCATTCACGTAGTTTGATTATCTGTAATTGAAAATAGTTGGTCTTTTGAAATCAGGTTGTTTTGAAGTGCAAGTTTCATGTGTTAGTATTTAATCGTGTTCGTATTGTAGTTAGCCGGAATTGAATTAATACTGTCTTGTTTGTCAATCGGGTGATGGGCATTTTCTTTAACTTCAATTCAAATCAATGGTGCTTTCTGTGATTTTGATACTCTGCTATAGGCAATATATCCTAATAAATGAAAATGATCTGTGGAAAAATTACCTTGTGACGAAACCAAGTTTGGATGTTTTTCTAACTGTGAATCGGCCGGGAGTTTTTAAATAGTGCCGAAAAAATTACGTTACTCAGCTGCAAATGACAGGGATTGGCCCAATTTCTGATCCGACTTTTGAAGAATTTGTCTGCGATTTAGTGGTTTGCGTTTGCTTGAAAAATCAATTTGGTCTACTTTAAAAAAGACAAACTTTCCGAAATTATTTCAAAACCAAAACACCCTACCACAAGAATTTCTTGCTTACGCCACTGGTTGTGCAACAACGCAGAATAGATGAAAGAAAAAACCAATCGTGCCGTTTAATTGATGTCGCAGTCAGAAAAAGATTCTTAAAAACTCGGCTTCAATTTTGTACTTGATTACGGTGAACACCAACTTACACCACAAGCCATGTAAACAAGGTGCTACTGAACGCATACTTCTTATTCAATTCTACATACTTCTTTCATAGTCAGATAGAGAAATAATTTAATTGTTTTCTCACAAGTTTTCTTCGATAGTCACGAGGTCGCTGAAGATCGACTTGTCAGTATTGGTGCAGAAGTAGTAGTACGAAGGTAGTAGTACCCCGCCTCTTTAACATAATAAGTTTAAATCATAAAAACGTTCCTTGAATATACTTCGGGGCCTAGGAAATTAGACGACAAGCTAATTAGACCACCTTGAAGAAACGGAAGTTACAGACAACCAGTATTTACTCAGCCAAAAGTTAATTTAAGTCGGTAAACAAGTTTGAAGCAATTCGCACACAAGTTATTGTCTAAATTCCGTTATTTTCTGTTCGTCTAATTTTCCCTCTTCTGAGTTCCTAAATCCCATATACTTCGCACTGGATTATTGAAAAAAATTATCGAATGAGAGTGAGGGAAGTGCGTTTCACTCATTTAAATCGCTCGGCTTTGTTATGAGTGTTGATGAACGTAATGCTTTATGGTCTTTTTAAATTTAAGTTACTTAGGACTTTTTCGCTGGAAAAAGCTTTAGAAAGATTCATAAAATATCTTCAACTTCATATATTTTTAAAATGTAAAAGCGTAGCAATTTTCTCTTAAAGCCGTAGTCAAGACTTTTTCGCGGTTTGTCTTTGATTTGTTTTTAAATTTACACAATTTTCACGAGTTAGAAGGAAAGCACGCTCCACTATCGAACCGTCAGAAAAAGTTTCAAATCTTTCAAAGTTGCATTTTACATTACGAGGCCAAACTGTGCACTGGATAGGCTCACAAACTTGTGTCTGTATTCCTGGATTCTAGAGACAAGTCTTTAATAATGTTAAAATTTTGTCGGAACGATTAAAGAAGTAGAAAGAACAAAGGGAGTGTCCTTGCAGAGGAATGCGCTAACAATTCACAAAATACACAGCTTGGCCTCCTAATGTAAAGTGTGAAGGTCTCGAAAAATCTAAATAACTTCCAGATTCATAACTTGAACCTTTTTTTGATTTCCCAGTAGATTTCTGCTCTCTTTGTGGGATCAATTCTTGAAATAAGTAAGTTAAGAACCGTTATAGTTTTTGATGAAATAAGTAAGTTAAGAACCGTTATAGTTTTTGATTCCAAATGTTTGATTTCCTCAAGCTCATACTTTTTTTTCATCATCTTTTGGCTGTGTTCTTCAAATGAAAAACTTCCATTTATTATCAGTCGTACGGATCAGTTTCCTTAAGTTCAGTGGGACTTGTACATCTGTTTTTTCACAGTTTTCCTGGCTACCACTAATTTTTAGACTTCTCGACATGAATGTGTTTTGTTTCTGTCCATTGATCAAGATGTTTTAAAGTTAAGCTAGTTTTCTGAAATAATTGAAATTGTTAAAAAACCAAAATAACCCTAAGCAAATTTTATTTTAATAGAAAACTAAAACAAATTGATTAAAAAAGATGTCCAGCTAATTTCCTTTCGAATTTGCTTTTTGGAGAACATTTTGGTAGCTATGTGCTTTAACTACTGTTTATTGGGTTTATTTATAAATAATTCTTTTGTTCTCGAGAAATAACAACAAGGCGTTTCAACTTTTTTATTTGTACACAATGGACCTAGAACAGATTGTGTTATAATACAAAACTATTTGTTTTCCTAGGAAACTTGCATCCGATTGAGCTCTTTTTGGTAACACTTAAAGTACATAACAATGGCAAATTAACAGCATAAGAACAAATTGCTTTATTTTTGGTGCGCAACTTGTCTTCGAGATTGTTATAGTTATTTTACTCCTATCTTCTTTCATCCAATATCAGGTTCTACAAATAGCTATCAGGATGGATTGAGAGATATATCATTTTAAAGCCCTTACACTTGTGTTGACCTTTCAACTGTTCCAAAAAAAACTGTCACGTCGAGACAAACTGGTTAAAAAATTAAACACTGTCTGATTTTGAGCAAGTACCGTTTGTTTTATGAAAATCGCTAAGCTAAATAAGCTACGAGAAAATTTAATTAAAAAATTTACGTTTTTGTTGCAATTAATTGTGGTACTGTCATTTACTCAAACGAGTTAGAGCCTTTTTTGGGATTAAGAGTCCAGTATTTTGCAATCCAACTCTCATAAAATTTTGCTCCTTTTCGTAAAACTTTCGCTGGTTATCATCGGCAGTTTGTAAGGGTGTGTTCAATGTTCATAACGCTTTTCATTTATGGTTAGTGTAGACTCACTTCAGGCGCACATTGCGCATATAGAATGACGACGATACCTTATCTCCTTGTCGGATTTACGATATCGGCAAAACGCAAAGTTTTATTTTTTAACGCGTTTTTTGTATTTTATTTCCTTATTTTTGTTTTTTTTTGCCTATCAAAATGTGTTTGTGCCGTTTTCTCCTCTGTGCTCTCAAACTGCAGGTTCACCTCAATGTAAATTTTTTGTCAGTCAAATGAAGCTCAATTACTGCTCTCTCAGAAAGGTTTTAAATTGAAACACCTCACTTTTTGTAAATTTCGAAAAAGACATAAAGTGTAATTCTTGAGGTTGAAACAATTAAATCAATTTTAGAAACCCGGATATATACGTTATTTCATCCTAATTTTTTGAACGAAAAATGTTTTTAAGATGAAAGAGCTAGTATGTATACACAAATTTTTCCATGAATAAAAAAAGGTTAATCCAAAAAAAACATTTCTTTCAGAATTTTACTACCGCTCTATCAGCTGTCAGTAGGCTGTTTGCTATCTTTTGATCAAATTCATGCAATCTTAACTCATTGCCGACGTTCTTAAAAGAGTTGGAAAGAACCTTGGCGAAGAGTTGTTTCTTTTTGAAACCAATTGTACGTACCCCTCAAAGATTATTCGTAGGGTCTCTGTGAGATAACATATTAAACGGTCATACTTCAAAAAAAGTTTCTCGTTGTTGATAAAACGAGTCTGAGCTTTTTTTACTTATTACCTGCAATAGTGGAGATTGAAATTCAATGTATGTTTTTGCAGTTCAGGGGCCTTCATGATCTGACTTTTTAACGCTTACATATCAAATCAATTTTATCACGCTAAAAACTATAAATTTGCAAAGAAACCAATTTTTTCACGAATTTTTTTTGCTTTAGAAATAGTTCTCTCCAAATCCCTACAGTCTGTAATTTTTCTCAATCTTAGTTTTCAATGAAAGGTTTAACAAACAAGTCATCTGTTGTTGCCAGCTAAATGGAGGTTTTGAATTACAAAGTCTTTGCCGAATTTGATCCGTTTGTATTTTTTTATGGAGACCGATTGTTTGACAGACCAATTTTTTAGCATAAAAAGAGAAAAAAGAGTCTTTTAGTATATCAAAACGCAATAAAGTGATGCATGATTGATTCAAAAAACTCAAAAAGACGCTCAGTCGTCGGCCAATTAGCGGCAAAACAAAAACTTATGCGCACAATAACCTTCGTGCCGAATAGAAGTACTGCGGAGCAAGCGCAGCGGAGTCTGCTAAAAGATTGGTGTGCAAAAAAACCGGTCTGCACAAATCCCTAGCATCTTTTTCTTTAAAAAATTGCTTTTATATTTTACGCCCAGCCCGCCAGCTACAGTTATACCACTGAAAATGTGGGCAAAGAAAAGATTCAAAACTTAATATCAATTTTAAAAACTTGAATTTTTCGAATCCATTTTTTGCCTAATTTTTTTGTGGTGTAATTGTAATTGTCGGGCAAAATTTAAAGTTAAAATTCAACTCAAAATGAAAACAGGTCAAAGGTCGGATTAGTGGTTTAAGTACATGCCTTTTTCCCTGTGCATTTAAAATTGTCAAAAGAAGATTTGGGCGTTGAATGGTCTAAAATAACGGAACCTGCCGACCTCTTTTAGCAGTCCTTTCTCAAAGTTTTGACGTAGTTGAAAAACTGTGGATTTGCAAAATGTAAATTGGAGATGGTGGGCGGATTCCTATCAAGCTCGACGATGAGAAAAATGATTTTAAACCAGGGGCGGATCTAGGATTTTATCGAGGGGGGGGGGCGGATTTTCAAAAAATTTTCGAAAATTTTAATGACCTTATTTTTTTTAGGTCGACCAAATTGTTTTTTCGAGCTCTCCCAAAGCACTGTTTTGACCGTATTTTGGCCAAATTTTTTGCGCCGGAGGCAAAATTTTTAAAAAACAGGCCAAAAAAGGCGTTTTTAGGCACTTTTTGGAAAATTTTGACCAAAAAATTGCATTTTTTCGGCGCCCCCCCCCCCTCAAAATTAGTATATATTGGCGCCAACGGCGCCTTTAGAAAAATTTTAGGGTCGATCGGCCAAAAATGGATTTCTTAAAAAGTATCAAAGGGGGGGGACCCTTTGGGTCGGCAGGGGGTCGAATCCCTGAGGGGGGGGGGGGGGCGTCCGCCCCTGTTTTAAACGAAGATTTTGGTGAAAATTTGCCACCAACTCTTAATTTCTTAATTTCCACCAATTCATTTTTATTAATCGAATATTCATTTATGCAAGAAATGGAAAAAGCTCACGATACATTTTTATTTTCGGTTTTTAATTGACTAACACTTTTTAAAAATCATGCTACAAAGCGTGATTTTGAAAAAAAAACGTGCTTGTCATTGGAATCAAAATTTAAAGCTGTCTTGTGAGCTCTCTCCCGTTTTGAGCGTTTAATAAATGTTGGTAATTTGAGTGTTTCCGACAAAATGTGACAAAAGGTGATCAGTAAAAATCGAAACATTTGAACAATTGATTACAATATCTTAAACGACCACGCTTCATTGTCTACTGCTAATGTATACAAAGACAAACATGCAACTCACAAAATCATTAATTATCTCGTCGAGAACGCTTGTCTGTTTCCTGGAATATTCTGATCTACAATATCTTACCAGATACAATGACGGCCCATAGTTGTCATCCTTTTGTTTGTTATTTTAACTGAGAACTTTCATTTGTTGTTACCTATAGTCGAGTTTACAGCTTTTCTCTCTTGCAGTTTTGATCTCTTGCTGTACAATTTTAAGATCTTTTCGCTGATCCTTTATTTCAAACATATTTGAATTTGATATAGCCGAGAAGTTTAGCTGTGTGGCTTTCCTGTATTTGATTGTCTGGATTTGTCATTGATTGCTATTTCAAAGCATCTTTTTGGGAAGAAAACCCTCAGTTGGGGATATGGCCAACAGGGTTCCAGGGTACGGGGACTTGGTGGATCGACAGGCCAAGATGCAGTCCAAGTACTCTCTGGAAGTGGAGCAGGTGGTCAGAGTCTGGATGGAGATGGTCACTGGGCAGCCAGTGATGCCAGGCAAGCTCTAACGCAGCATGATTGTCATTATAATGTCAACAATTTTTTTTTCATTGGAAAAAAAAACAACAAAAAAGTACAGAACTCGAAAATATGCAGTTTTTATTTGTCAGCTTCGGTTTTGTGGGGTGGGAGATTTTTATATAAATAATGGAATGGCAAGGGGTGGTAGACATGGGGATTGGGAGGCCGATTGTTAAAGTTAATATAACTTAATTGAATGAATTTTAATAAGCTTTACCTAAGTATAGTTCAAAAACCAACCCCCTATCGAATTATTTCATTCCCTTTTGTGTGCTTGAATTTTTTCCCAGCGAGCAATTTTGCAAATAAATTGACGAAAGTTATAGAAATGATATCTGTGCGCTCGTTGGTGCAATGTTGGTGGTGTAGTGAATGCATTTATTTATTTTGTCGTACAGACTCAGGGTAGAAAGCCAAAAGTTTCAAAGCGAGCTCTCAATAAGACAAAAACCTTGTATAGTGAGAAATGTGACAAAAAATGCCGGATTTTGTCTTTTCGAGTTGTGGTGGCTTTGAATCTTTCGGCTTTTTACCCTCTATCTTTTTAGTCCAAATGTGTATCTGAAATTGAGAAAAATTCTCAAAACTCAAAACTAACTTTGCACACCCTCCTTTATAAAACAAATGAGAAGAACCTCAATTTTTCGGAATAACTACATTTTTTCATTCATTTTCTATTATTTTTTATCGGTTTTTTACGATTAAAATTTTCAGTTTTTTATCTGATTTTCTGTCGGCTTGATTTCCACGAAACAGTTGTGAGCTACGTTGTTCACTGAAAGCTATTTTCGCTGTGTTGGGATTTTGGTGGTCTGAATAATTTTCAATTTTTAAAGAAAAAATGGTTGTAACTTTTTACAATATTTCTACCGTTACAGAATCAGTCACTAAGTTTTCAGCAAATTAGTTCTTTTATTTTTATCGGTTTTTTACGATTAAAATTTTCAGTTTTTTTATTGATTTTCTGTCGGCTTGATTTTCACGCACTAATTGTAAGCTACGTTTTTCACCGAAAGATATTTTGCTGTGTTGGGATTTTGGTGGTCTGAACAATTTTCATTTTTTAAAGAAAAAATGGTTGTAACGTTTTACAATATTTCTACCGTTACAGAATCAGTCACTAAGTTTTCAGCAAATTAGTTCTATTATTTTTATCGGTTTTTTTACGATTAAAATTTTCAGTTTTTTTAGTGATTTTCTGTCGGCTTGATTTCCACGCACTAATTGTGAGCTACGTTGTTCACTGAAAGATATTTTTGCTGTGTTGGGATTTTGGTGGTCTGAATAATTTTCATTTTTTAAAGAAAAAATGGTTGTGACGTTTTACAATATTTCTACCGTTACAGAATCAGTCACTAAATTTTCAGCAAATTAGTTCTATTAATTTTATCGGTTTTTACGATTAAAATTTTCAGTTTTTTTTATTGATTTTCTGTCGGCTTGATTTCCACGCACTAATTGTGAGCTACGTTGTTCACTGAAAGATATTTTCGCTGTGTTGGGATTTTGGTGGTCTGAATAATTTTCATTTTTTAAAGAAAAAATGGTTGTAACGTTTTACAATATTTCTACCGTTACAGAATCAGTCACTAAGTTTTCAGCAAATTAGTTCTATTTTTTTATCGGTTTTTTACGATTAAAATTTTCAATTTTTTTATTGATTTTCTGTCGGCTTGATTTCCACGCACTAATTGTGAGCTACGTTGTTCACTGAAAGATATTTTCGCTGTGTTGGGATTTTGGTGGTCTGAATAATTTTCATATTTTAAAGAAAAAACAGTTGTAACTTTTTACAATGTTTCTACCGTTACAGAATCAGTAAATAAGTTTTCAGCAAATTAGTTCTATTAAATTTATCGGTTTTTACGATTAAAATTTTCAGTTTTTTTATTGATTTTCTGTCGGCTTGATTTCCACGCACTAATTGTGAGCTACGTTGTTCACTGAAAGCTATTTTCGCTGTGTTGGGATTTTGGTGGTCTGTATAATTTTCATTTTTTACAGAAAAAATGGTTGTAACTTTTTACAATATTTCTACCGTTACAGAATCAGTCACTAAGTTTTCAGCAAAATAGTTCTATTATTTTTATCGGTTTTTTACGATTAAAATATTCAGTTTTTTTATTGATTTTCTGTCGGCTTGATTTCCACGCACTAATTGTGAGCTACGTTGTTCATTGAAAGATATTTTCGCTGTGTTGGGATTTTGGTGGTCTGAATAATTTTCATTTTTTAAAGAAAAAACGGTTGTAACTTTTTACAATGTTTCTACCGTTACAGAATCAGTAAATAAGTTTTCAGCAAATTAGTTCTATTAATTTTATCGGTTTTTACGGTTAAAATTTTCAGTTTTTTTATTGATTTTCTGTCGGCTTGATTTCCACGCACTAATTGTGAGCTACGTTGTTCACTGAAAGCTGTTTTCGCTGTGTTGGGATTTTGGTGGTCTGAATAATTTTCATTTTTTAAAGAAAAAATGGTTGTAACTTTTTACAATATTTCTACCGTTACAGAATCAGTCACTAAGTTTTCAGCAAATTAGTTCTATTATTTTTATCGGTTTTTTTACGATTAAAATTTTCAGTTTTTTTATTGATTTTCTGTCGGCTTGATTTCCACGCACTAATTGTGAGCTACGTTGTTCACTGAAAGATATTTTTGCTGTGTTGGGATTTTGGTGGTCTGAATAATTTTCATTTTTTAAAGAAAAAATGGTTCTGACGTTTTACAATATTTCTACCGTTACAGAATCAGTCACTAAATTTTCAGCAAATTAGTTCTATTAATTTTATCGGTTTTTTACGATTAAAATTTTCAGTTTTTTTATTGATTTTCTGTCGGCTTGATTTCCACGCACTAATTGCGAGCTACGTTGTTCACTGAAAGATATTTTCGCTGTGTTGGGATTTTGGTGGTCTGAATATTTTTCTTTTTTAAAGAAAAAATGGTTGTAACGTTTTACAATATTTCTACCGTTACAGAATCAGTCACTAAGTTTTCAGCAAATTAGTTCTATTATTTTTATCGGTTTTTTACGATTAAAATTTTCAGTTTTTTTATTGATTTTCTGTCGGCTTGATTTCCACGCACTAATTGTGAGCTACCTTGTTCACTGAAAGATATTTTCGCTGTGTTGGGATTTTGGTGGTCTGAATATTTTTCATTTTTTAAAGAAAAAATGGTTGTAACTTTTTACAATGTTTCTACCGTTACAGAATCAGTAAATAAGTTTTCAGCAAATAAGTTCCCTTTATTCTCATAGCCTTGAGGCATAAACAGCCAGGATTACAGTGATGTCTAAATTTTGTGTGGTTCCATATAGTTTTTTTTCAATACTGACATCGTTTTTAATATTGCAATAGAAAAACAGAGTTTCGGCGGAAATCAAATACCTATAGTTTCCGGTGTACTCCTTTGATTTCGATTACTGAAAAGTTATTTTAGATTCTCCGTGAGTTAGGACCGATGTGGTTAACTCATAGAGTAATTTAGGATAGGGTACACCGTCTGCTCGTCACGCTATCTTTTTTTCGGCCGGATAGATTCGTGCAACTTCTTAGTCTAATACCGATCCTAATCTTACTCTTATACTATCTAGTCTCAGGTTGTTTAACTAGTCTCTGCTAGGCTCAATAGATCTAGGGTATACTGGTTTATTGCGGCTGCTGAAGTTCCTTTGGAGAGGCAACTAATTTCTAAGTTAAATTCAAATCTCTCTGGTGCTGAAATTACAAGTAATTTCAGCACTTACAAATAAGTGGGTTGTTAGTTAGATGGATCATGATTGGTTAATATTAAATACTTTACAGTGGTAAAATATCTAATTTATCCAATCATAAAATGTAGTTTAGATCAGGTTCCAACCATCCGGGTTTTACAGAGTTTTTTAGAATAGTCTTTCTGCAATTCAATGGATGGGTGATGGACGTTGGTATTTGGCGAACATCATATTTCTTCTGGGTTCTCTTGTTAGAGAAGTTCCAGGTTCAATCGCTGTATCTTCTCATGAAAACGACTGGGTTTTCGCAACAAACTCAAATCTGATTTCAGAATGGTTGGCTATGACAGGTTTTTCTGTTTCATGTAGAGAACTTCTTTTGGGTTGACCTTGTCTGGGAATGGCGTGGAGATTGTGCGTGGAGGGGATGCCTGGTTACTCGGATCTGTACGTATACTTGAACATCGAGGTGGTCATTGGTCTAGTTCAATGAAGTCCTTTTCTGCGAAGTCAAGTCGTACTCTAAATCCTTTGAGTTGTGATTGTGGGCGGCATATTGATTGTGGTTGGCCATTTTTTTTCGAGTGTAGTGGGGTCATTTTGTCTTTGGATGTTCGTCTTTGGTGTTGTATGCTGATCTATATACTGCATGGTGTAATTTACATTTTATAAAATTTTTATTAGTTTGGTGTTTTAATTATGATTTTGGTTAGTTGTTTTCACAAAAGCTTTTTTGTTTTAGTTCGGTTATTTTGAAGAGTTACTCACCCTTGAGTACCTCTTATTAAAAATAGGAGGGTGGTCACAAAGCGTGGATGTAGCGCGGTGGGTTAGGCCGGCTATAGAGCATGCTCAGGACGTCCTCTCTGGTGGGTTAGGCCAGGAGTGGGAGTATGATTTCGTGCGGTTTCTGTGAGAGGTCCTGTTATGTGACAACGTTTTATGTTGGGTTTATTGTGGTTTTTCTTATGTTTCGTTGGTTGTGTCCTTTTTTCAAAAATCAAATTGTTTTTGGTATGGGTTTGTCTTTCGACTTTTTTTTGTTTTATTATTTCTTTCTTAGACTTTATAATAGTCTTCAAAAGAATAAATTATCCAGTTTTAAACTGGGTTAATCCAGTTTGGGTACCGTTGGTTTCCTTTTCTTAGTCATGCTGTTATTCTATGTTTTGTGGTGTTTAGTAAGCTGCATTGGTTAGTTTTGTTTAGTATTTAATTCCTTTCCAACCGGGTTAAAGGAAAGTTAGAAACGTGTTAT